GATGGGAGCGGCGTAGGCAACTTTAGCGACGGGGGCGGAGTAGGCAATCTTAGCGGGGGCTCCTTCGTATCGCACGATAGCGTTGAAGCCCTGGTGATCGTCAGCGCTGTATTCGACAATACGGCGTACACCGTCAGGCTGCACTAAGGAGTAGGAGCCACGCACAGCGTCGCCGTTACGAGACTCCTGCTGCTCCTTCACATCGCCGCTTTGGGAGTCGTGTACGGAGTACGAAAAATCGTAACGAGCGGGAGCTTCGGGCTCAGCATATACCAGTTTGGTAGCGGGGAGAAGGCCGGCGTAGGCAACAGCAGCCAGAGACAGGACGATGGCGAACTGTAAAAAGAAAAGGAACGTTGACAATTTACAAACCCTAGTTGGCGTTGGAGTTAAATAATACATTATCCACTACCACACGGTACTGCGAAATGGTATATGTATATACATATTTGAAAACGGTTGTTTTGTATACGGATTAAGTATACGGAGTGTCACCATCCCTATTCACCCCGTGGGTGTTGTGAGAGCTGACTAAGGGAGCAAACTACTCAGGACAACAGCACTGCAATAAGAAGGAAAACTTGACACAACCCCTATACCTTCTAAGGTTATATACGTTAACGCCTTTATTAAACACGGCAACTCACTTTAGCGATCATTTTTGATAATTTAATGAGTTACTCCGTTGTTGGTGAATTCAATACCAGTGCTCGACTGCAATGAATGTATGATCTTGTGCAGTTTTTATACATGAATGATCAACTGTTGATAAGTTTGTGACAAATTACAAGCCCGGAGCGATGCTAAATAAATTTTGCAATGATTAGGAGGTGAAGGTCGGGTGTAAAATTAAACGCACGCTATTCTATTTACACATTAGCACATGTGGAGACAGAACTGTATCGAACCTATTTGGTGATACGGGTGAAATTGTGATCATAGAACAGGATTCCTACTGATTTGGAGAATGTCTTCATAAAATTTCGTTTAACCTTAAAATAAATTTTCGAGATCTTGACTATTACTCCTAAGTAAATAATGTCCGTGTGGTGACAGATTAAGAATACAGAGTGTCACCACCCCTATTCATCCCATGGGTGTCGTAAGAACCGACTAAGGGAGCAAACTACGAAGGACAACAGCAATGCAAAGAGAAGGAAAACTTGAAACAAACCCTGTACCAACCCGTCTGGCCAGCATGGTATAGTAGGCCAAAACCTTCTTTCTAAGGAGGGCCCGATGTCTAGCAGTGGCCTATTAGAGGCCAGATTATTTTGATGATATTTAATAGTTTATCTCCTATATTGAACTCTCACTGTCTGAAGTAGCTATTTTATTTATCAATCAATCAATAAAGCACGCCACCAGACGCTGGTCAGACGGGTTGCTATAAATGGGATGGGTATGTTTCAAGTTTTCCTTCTTTGTGCTGTTGTCCTGCGTCCTGTTGTGCTGCAAAGAGAATTAAAACAAAACCTGTACCAACCCGTCTGGCCACCGTGGTATAGTAGGCCAAAATCTCCTTTCTAAAGACTAGTTAAGGCTGTGGATGAAGTAATTAAAATAATCTTATTTTCATTATGATTTATTCTTAAATTTGAATTTTATGTTTTATTTATTGGCCGTATTCTTTTTTACATCACTGTATTTCTATACTCTTGTAAAATATTCGAGCTCATTGATGTGTTTCGTATTTCTTGGTCACAATAATACATTCTCGCTTTGGGACTGCTAAGGCGCATATCCAATTTTAAAGACAGCTCTGAAAGAATTATAAAAGCGGAAGGGAATTTACTAGTAAATTTATATAGATAGATAGATAAATTATCCGTGTGGTAACGGATTAAGAACATGGAGTATCACCACCCCTATTCGTCCCATGGGTGTAGAACACCAGAGCCGAGTACGTCGACGACGTTCTAAGGGAGCAAACTACGCAGGACAACAGCACAAAGAAGGAAAACTTGAAACATACAAATCCCATTTATAGCAACCAGCTGACCAGCGTCTGGTGGCGTGCTTTATTGATTGATTGATAAATAAAATAGCTACTTCAGACAGTGAGAGTTCAATACAGGAGATAAACTATTAAATATCATCAAAATAATCTAGCCTCTAATAGGCCACTGCTGGACATCGGCCCCTCCTTAGAAAGAAGGTTTTTCCTACTATACCATGCTGGCCAGACGGGTTGGTATAGGGTTTTTCGGGCGGGGCGTTCGACAGTCGACGCTGTGTTGCGCCTGAGGGCCGTGACCGAAGAGGCCGTGAGCTGTGGCGGCGTGCTGTTGGCGGTGTCATTGGACATCGCCAACGCATTCAATAGTCTGCCATTCAGCTGCATCAGGGAAGCACTCCACTATCATGGGGTGCCAAAGTACCTGAGGCGGCTGGTGGCAGACTATTTAGAGGAGCGTACCGTCGTGTACGAGGACCGAGAAGGTAATTTGAGGTGTCGGCCCATGTCGTGCGGTGTTCCACAGGGGTCTGTTCTTGGACCCCTCTTGTGGAACATAGGGTACGACTGGGCCCTTCGCGCCGATTTCCCCCCCGGGCTGGGTGTAATCTGTTACGCAGACGATACCCTCGTGACAGCCCGGGGGGCAAACTTCCAAGAGGCGGCGCGCCTGGCCACAGGGGGAGTCTCCCTGGTGGTCGGGCGCATTGAGGCGCTGGGCTTACGGGTGGCCCTAGATAAGACGGAGGCCCTGTTATTTCATGGGCCCCGTCGTGGTCCACCCCCTGGCGCCTCAATCGTGGTCAACTCGGTCCTCGTACCGGTTCGGGCCCAGATGAAATATCTGGGCCTGATCCTCGACGGGAGGTGGCTCTTCGACGAGCACTTCCGACAGCTTGCTCCAAAGCTGGTCGGCGCTGCGTCTGCCCTAGGGCGACTCTTGCCCAATATGGGTGGACCCAGCGTCGCGACAAGACGGCTGTACACGGGGGTTGTCCGGTCAATGGCGCTGTACGGTGCACCGGTGTGGGCGGCGGCTCTGACCGCCCAGAATAGGGTACGCCTCTGGCGCCCTCAGAGGGTAATGGCGGTCAGAGCCATACGCGGTTACCGCACCGTTTCTACGGAGGTGGCATGCGCGTTGGCCGGAACTCCCCCGTGGGATTTGGAGGCGGAAGTGCTCGCCGAAGTTTATCAGCGAGTGGCTGACTTCCGGGCGGAGAGCGGATTTCGCCCTCCGCCCGAGGATGTGCGCGAGTGGCGCGAAGGCGCTCGCCGAGCCACGATGGCTCGTTGGTCGCTCCGGCTGGAGACTCCACGCGCTGGCTTCGCCGCCGTGGAGGCTCTCCAGCCGGTCATCGCCGAGTGGGCAGGGCGGCAGCACGGGACCCTTTCCTTCCGGCTGACGCAGGTGCTTTCCGGGCATGGTTGCTTCGGAAAGTACCTGCACACGGTCGCTAGGAGGGAACTGAGTCCCGCCTGCCACCACTGCGACTGCAGTGAGGACTCGGCCCAGCACACGCTGGCGGTCTGCCCCGCATGGGCGGCGCAGCGCCGGGCCCTCACTGCAGTCATCGGAGTGGATCTCTCGCTACCGGCCGTAGTACGCTCCATGGCCGGTAGCGACAGTTGTTTTACCGCGGTCGCAACCTTCTGCGAGGTAGTAATCTCGCGGAAGGAGGCGGCGGAGAGGGCCCGGGAGGACGACCTCCACTCGGACCCGATCCGCCGCCGGCGAACCGGGCGGCGGAGGCCCGCCTACCACAGCCTCATGCCGCCCTGAGTGTGGCCGCGGGTGGACGGGGTGGGTTTCCCCTCCACCCGCATTAGTTGGCCAGCCGCGAGGGGGCGGCGTCCGCGTGTGCCGGACGTCGCCTAAAGAGAGGAACATCCACATTGAGACGGAGCCCGCACCAGGAGCGGGCTGGCGCTAGGAGGGGTCCGGATGTCTTAACAGCAGCTGTTCCCGGATCCCTCCTGTTACAGGCGCAGAGTGGCACACCGTGTGGTTTTAGTCGGTCCGAGTCCGACACACCACCCCGCCGCAAACCCCGGAGGGGTGACGGTCCGAGGGGATTTCCACACGTAAAAAAAAAAAAAAAAAAGGGTTTGTTATAAATTTTATTTACCATCACATTACACAATATTTGTCACTGAAAAGTAGCTTCTTGCAAATAACTTCACCAAACGCTCAGAAAGTGACAAGTTTATTCAAATTATGTTTTTAAAGAATGCCATTTATCAAATTAATGTTTATATCGTTTAACTAAATGTAAGTGTGTAATAACATCCGGCACAATACGCCTTCAACAGAAATAGAATGCAGTATCAAAGTTAAAGTAAATTTTTCTCCTAGTCAGGGGTCTAAGTAGTGCTTTATTAACAGAACTGGGTACTTACTACAAGTAAACAGAGACTTCATAATTGGCTATTGGATGATTTATACATACGAGTATATCTATCTGAATCTGAATCAAAATTCGAAATGTACAATACTAGGGAAATTTGATTAAACGATTTTGACTTTACCGATTCTATTTTATGTACAAGTATTTTATATTTACGTGCTTAGTACGATACAAACGCGTTTAAATTATATGTTTACTAAGTTTACATTTCAATTTACATTTCATGCTATTCTACAATTACCCGATTTTCTTTAACTTTAATGGTCACTGCCGTTTCTATAAATTGCATACATAGGTACGGATATTGTCAATGAACAGGAAATGGGAAAAATATTTTTTTTATGGAAAAGATGGTTTAATGATCCGTTTTCCACGCTTTTGATATGACAGCAACTCGATAAAATTTTCGACATGATTTTTAACTATAAACTCGTATGTACATATACGAGTATACCCAACCTTCGCCTTTCGATCGATATAAAATTTAGCATTGCTCCGGGCTTATAATTTGTCGCAAACTAGTCACACTGTAGGTGACAATTCGTGTATAAAAACTGTACCAGATCATACATTTATTATAGTCGAACACTGATACTGAAGTTAACAACAACAGAGCGAGTATTTTATCAGCAAAAATGGTCGCTAAAGTGAGTTATCGGGTTATTCACATCGTTTTAGTCAAAAATACTAGGTGTTAAGTGGTCTTACCTCTTCTTTATCAAAAAAATATTTTTTATTTTAAAGATTCGTTAATTTGTATTGTGTTAAAATCGTCATATCATTCACTGTTTAATTTGTATAAATATCATTTGGTAAGTAGGTACAACATATCTTATGATTGTAACTGTTGCATAGAATCCTATAACATGAGACGACCTCGACTCCTTAGGGTTCGAAATTTTTAGGGTTTGTATATTATCAACGTTCGTTTTCTAATTCCAGTTCGCCATCGTCCTGTCTCTGGCTGCTGCTGCTTACGCTGGCCTTCTCCCCGCTACCAAACTGGTGTACGCTCAGCCCGAAGCGCCCGCTCGTTATGATTTTTCATACTCCGTACACGACTCCCAAAGCGGCGATGTGAAACAGCAGCAGGAGTCTCGTGACGGCGACTCTGTTCGCGGCTCCTACTCCTTAGTACAGCCTGACGGTGTACACCGTATTGTGGAATACACCGCTGACGAACACCAGGGCTTCAACGCTATCGTGCGCTACGAGGGCAACCCTACCCAACCCGCTCCTGCAAAGATCGCCTATTCTGCGCCCATCACTAAGATAGCCTACGCTGCCCCGGTCGCTAAGGTCGCCTACGCCGCTCCCATCGCTAAGGTCGCCTACGGCGCACCCATCGCTAATGTCGCCTACTCCGCTCCCATCACCCAAGTTTCCTACTCATCTCCTGCCATCTCTTATCACCACTAGACTAATGTATTATTTAGATATGAGAGCTGTTTTATTTATATGAATAGTTGATAATAAATTATTTTTGAAATAGCACGACTACTGTACTTATTTATTTACAAAACAAATAACGTTCTTTAGATCCATAGTTTTGCAAATATAAAAGGCACAATACATATATGTCTTACTGAAATAAGGAAAGCAATTCTCCTTTCATTATTTCTGTAAGACATTGTGCCGTTTATGTTTACACCAAAAAATTATGTTTTATTTATGTGTAAAATGTACAGATTTTTAACCCTATTTTTAATCGCTTTGAAAAATATGCAAGGGGGACACTTTTTATGCTATAAGGGGCAAATACCGCAGGCGACAATTTGTTCCGGGGATTGGTTGTACGAGGCAAACAGTTTCTTGAAAAGCACACAGTCGTGGAGCGCCATTATCCAAATGATGAGAACAGGAAGCAAAACTTCCGTATCACTTGGATAGTTGGCAAGGAACGATGGCGGATCGATGTGGCCGGTATTAGTCCGAACAATTCTTCGGAGCACTGTGACACAGGATATTTATACAAAATTTTCTGCCGCAGAAAATGGCAGATCCGTCAAACATAAATACACTTCCTCTAAATTTTTCATTCTGTAACAGTCGTCAGTTATTTTCACAAACTGGCAATGAGCATAAAATACTTGTTCGCCTATCATAGTTAGCTTTACCTGCTCTCTCGGTAAACAAAATTATACCGAAGAAAATAATTAAAATGCTTAAAAATTCTATTACATTATTTTATTTATTCTCGCCCTTTTCTTGAAATAATAATAGTGTCAATGTGATTATGGCGTATTATTGATATTTGTATTGATCAATGTTTTATGTTGCGTTAGAGTCGTCCTGGTAGCAGTAATTCACTAATTAATTCACCTTAAATATAATAACCATTGACAGTGTTGAGATAATAATAATTTGACACATCTTTAATCATTTCTAATCTTTTTTTTATAAATGGCAACTCCCGCGCTAGACTTCATATCCTGTATTGCAAGGGACTTTAATATAAATCGGACACAAAGATCCCAGACTCAGAACAACATTTTGTGGATCAAGCAAAGTGTTGTCCCATGTGGACATCGAACCCATAACACTCATTGCAATAGGAAGCGGCGAGGTGACCGCTTAAAGTACTAGGCCATCCGTTCAGTCTTACTTAAAATTATTTTATGTATAATAGATAAATTACCCTCAGACACATGTGAATGAGCATGCTCATAATGCAATTATTTGTCCTGGATGGGAATTGAACCCGCGACCTTTGGCTGATCAGTCAGGGTTACTAACCACTAAGACCAGAGACTAACAGGGCAGTCTAAACTTAGCACAAAAATAACTCTGATCGTTGAGCTGATAACCAAAAAAATCACTTACCAAATTTGAATAACACTAAGAAACTACATTGTCTTATAAAAACTAATAACAAGAAATCAATAGGGCCTCTTACTTTGTACATATTACAATGCGCCACAAGTTAAGCTTGCTAAGAGTAGAAAGTAAGCAAGTTAGTTTTGAGTTTAGAAATAATTAGTCCATATTATGTCTATGCCGTAAGTTAATCTATTATATGTCTAAGCTTAACATGTTCACCTAGATATACAAACGGGTCACGGGTGTAGCAACGCCTACAAAGTAGTTTTTTCTTAATTTGTGTAGCATTTTATACGATAAATTGATTAGTTATTTAATCAGGTGAATCAAAATGCTTTTAATAAAACATCTGAAGGCCAATTCTCATAATAAAAGTTCGGTCAAAATTCAGTTCCGATCAACTCTAGATCTCGGAACTGTCATTAAAGGTATTTTCGTAGTATATCATTAAACATCCAACGTTGACTGTAACGTGATTACATCGTATGACTGAAAATTGAATCGGTAATCTGTTAGTCTTAGTAATATTTTACTATTTTACTACGAAAGTCCCTTATATGACAGTTGTGTGATTGAGAGTTGATCGGAACTGAATGTTGACCGAACTTTTATTTTTAGAATTTGCCTTTAGGTTTCATAGCTCAAGTGTAAAACATGTGTAATTGTTCTTACGAATATATGTGTAACTAGCTGAGACCCGCGGTGTTACCCGCATTTGTTGTTATAACCGCGGGCAACGCCGCGGGGCGAAGCTAGTATAAAAGAAGTAGCCTAAGTTATTCCTTATGTCATCAGCTATCTGCCAGTGAAAGTCCCGTCGAAAAAACAAACAGACAGGCAGATAGACAGACAGACAGACAAAAATTGTAAAAAATGATATTTTGGCATATGTACCGTGTAAACATACATATGCATTTAGTATAAAGCGGTTATTTTAATATTACAAACAGACACTCCAATTTTATTTATTTGTATAGATAAGCAATATTAATAGCATATCCTTAAAAACGGGCCTGTTAGTCTAGTGGTTAGTGACCCTGACTGCTAAACCGGAAGTCGTAGACTCGATTCCCATACAAGGCAAGCAATCGTATGATGAGCATGACGATTTATTCTGTGTCCGGGTCTAATTTATCTATAATACGTACGTATTTAGAAATATATAGATATGTTTATCAAGCAGGCTCTGCCTAGTTTGGAATCAGACGGCCGTGTGTGAGATGTTATTATTAAATTCTTAATAAAAAAAAAACATTGCAGTGTTCAAGTGATAAAGCGCCCGCTTGCCAGTTTTGTGCATACATACATTGCAGGAAAGGGAGAGGAAAGATGCTAAATGTGAAAACTTGCTTTGCTGATAGAAACTCATCAGCCATTCCTTCACCAAAGGGATTTTAAAGGCGGAAGCAGGCATTTTATTATAATTTGGCAAGAACGCTAATAGCAAAATGTTGCCATGACTAATAAAAACATTTCGATTAATTATTATATTATATTGCTTGATATTTTAAAATTATATTAATGAGATTATATATATTATTTATATATATATTATTTATATATTATTTATAGAGTATTTGTTTACATGTGATTCAGTTACCTAACAGGTGAAGCTAATAAGTAGGTATTTTAATAAAATAATAATGTCAATAAAATAATAGAAATGTATCTGATAAGGACCATCTACTACGACTATCTAAGGAGGTATACCTACTAATGCAATAATCAATAAAAGGTTTATAATTATTTATTTAAGTATATTTGTTATTTAAATGCGATTTTACTTTAACTGTAGGCAAGTCTGATTTAAATAATTGGTTTCGTATTTGATAAAGTACCTATTCATTTTTGAAATTCAGATTTAGTTAAATAGTAAAAGCTTACGTACTCGTAGATATCTACATAAACAGTGCGGTATGGCTCAAACAAAATTAGAAGATCGTCCGAGTGGCTATATTGTCAAGAACAGTATCTATACACAAAGAAAATAATTTACAACTAAATCCTAATACAGCAAGTTTTCTTTTAGTTTCAGTACTCATGTGGAAGTTTTGTAGAAACCATGTTTTGAGAAACTTATGTTCTAATCCATAAAAACAACTTCGCCTTTCTCCACATCACCTAAATAAGCACCTAATGAATGCTAGAGAAAGCTATATGCACTAAGTGTTCTTGTGTATAGATACGTTTAAAGTTTAAATGAATAAATTACCTATACACAAACTCACTATTATCTGTATCCAAAGATAATTTATCCCTCTCACTTATTAGGGCACAAGAATGTAACCCGCAACCGGGCACATTGAGAATTAAAGATGGATGACCCAGTTGAAAATATTGAAAGTAGGAAAATGTGAGTAAGAAAGAAAAAAATAAAAGGAAAAGAACATTACTTATGCAGGTGGAGTTCAAACGGGAGTGATAGCCAACTCCCAGCAGGCCAGGATCGAAAGTCTGTAGGCAGTTGTTGCCGAAAAGCCATAAGCCACCCATAGACAAGGAATAATCATGACTTGCACATATTAGTGTTCTTAATTATATCGATAGATAAATTTATCAATCGAGTAAAAATTTCTATTCGAGAATGGAACGCAAAAGAATTCGGCGTGTTAACCTTCACCTCTCACTATGAAGCATATTTAGTAGTGCCCCTGGCGAGTATGTCAACCGGATCAAACAGTAGGCGATAATTCTCATATAAAAAGTGCAGAAATCATACATTATTTTATTCAACCACTGATACGCATATTAATAACAACATATCATACACAGTAATCTTTAACAATGGTCGCTAAGGTAAGTTCTTACTCTTTTATAAAACACAAAGAAAGTGTAGCAAAATTTAATTTTGTCTAACTTTTAATCAATCTATTCTAATTAGCAGTCCGTCATTATCCTGTCTCTGGCCGTTGTTGCTTACGCCGGCCCTCTGCTACCTTTAGCCAAAGTGTTATACGCTGAGCCTGATGCGCCTGCTCACTACTGCTTCTCATACTCTGTGCATGACACACACACAGTGGTGATATAAAGCAACAAAAAGAATCGCGCGACGGTGACGCCGTAAAAGGTTCATACTCTCTGGTGTGCACAGTATTGTTGAGTACACCGCTGACAAGCACAACGGTTTTAACGCCGTCGTAAATTACGAAGGAACCCCTATCCATCCGGCTCCAGCAAAAGCTGTCGCTGCCGCTCCCTTCTATGCGCACACTGGTCCCGTCGCTCCCGTGGCAAAGGTCGCGTACTCTGCTCCCCACGCACACGTCACATATTCATTTCCCGCCATTTCAGTCCACCATTAAACTAAATTTGTTAAATTAATTAAGTACCTAAGCTATTTAAGTTACTAATATGAATAGTTGCTAATAAATGAGACTTAGACTGACAAAGTTGTGTGAATTATTTCCTGGACTAATAATATTATTTTATTGCTCCTGCTAACCCATAGTTTAAGAGTGTCTTTGACGTGGAATAGATGTTATTGGCACGCTTACAACTATATACCTAGTTAGAGCGTTTAGATCCTACTGCACAACTTTCTTAAATACATATATACCTAGCAATCATATAGGTATTTTAATACTGGAATAAGACACGTCGTCCTCCATACATACATATTTTGTCAACTTTATATCAATATCGTCGATAGTGGGGGTGCATCGAGCGACCGCCTCCACGCCGGTGTACCGCACCTGAATTATTCATACAGCCGCATAGTGATTTCATCTCATTGAATGGAGCTGCCGGCGGCGCAGCCGTGATTACGACACCGATACCTCCGCTGCCCGCCACCGGCAATACGAGTATGTAGACTGCACAATGCGACATGTCAACTGCCCATTACTTCTAACTACTATGTACCTAGAGGACAGTAGATGCCTGTACATGTATCAATAAATATTAGCTCGTACAATAATAACCTGTCACATATCTCACACGGCTGTCTGATCCCAAACTAAGCAGACCCTGTACTATGGTAACAATACTACCTTATATTTCTAAATACATATGTACATACACTCATAAACAATACACAGAAATTGAAAAATGTAGTACTCGTCTCTAAATTATTTGTCCTGGATGCGCATCGAACCCACGATCTGTGACTTATAAGTCAGTATCATTACCAATTACTAACAGGCTAGTTATTTAAAACACACCTCCAGGGGGGGGTCAATAGGCGCAGAAATACGCAAACCAGTGCAGAACGAATGTAGACGCATCGGACTATTTTCGAAAGTATTTATATATTTCTGATGAGGGGCAATTTGTTTTAATACCTATTAAATAACAAGTGAGCCAATTTGACTTCACACTGGTTATTTGTACTTATATTTCTTTGAGAAAAATTAAATGTCGCTTCATACATACTTTATTATATTGCAATAAGTAAATACACATCTAATACATTGTAACCAATACGTTGTTGTAGAAAATATAGCGATTGCAGATGTCCGCCAAACTCGTCTCGACAGACCCTAAAATAGGGTTACATGAAACATTAAAAAAGAGGATTTAAACTCCACGCGGCAGGTAAAAATGAAGATTGGTTTTTATCTGTGCACTGGCGGGAAATTGAATGTAAAGTTGATTTCCCGGCGGGCCGTACCGCATAATTCCCCGCAAATTAAGCCGATACCAATTGACTTGCTACCAATGTAAATATTTTTGTTATGTGCCTCCCCTTTATGTATTTAGCTTGACGACTCAATAATGTTAATGCGATAAGTACGTAACTTTGATGCTTTCTAGAATAGTAAATAGGCATTATTATTTACCTATTACTGTAGAGTAGTAGGTCAGTTACACTCTGACCATTTGTTTAATTTGACAGTAGCTAGAGAACACAAGCGTTTAAAATTAAAAGAAAAATATATATTTCAATTTCATTTTATTATTTTTCATACTTCTTGGGCAATATGACAGATAGCTAGACAATTCAATACGTTTCTTTTTAAGTACATAATTAAATGAAGATTTTCTTCGGTTTTATTGTACTTTACTGTACGTCAATTGCATTAACGTGAACAAGTCTTTTTAAAATTCTTTTCTTTTAAATAATATAAAAGAACTTTCTTCTGAAGTTATTAATATTTAGTTAGTTATTAATATTTTATTATATTTGCAATAAATTATTTCGAAAAGATTAACATTTAGGTATTCAAGTTAAAAGGACTGATGATGATAAAACGAAAGACAACACGAGATCCGTGGCTTGTATCCTTTGTAATATTAATTATATTTTTACAAATTTATATATGTATAAAATATTAAACGTGTGGATATAAATAACTAATAATGGAATCGTCAAAAATAATGTAAACAAACAGACAGATTATTATGTAGTTTTTGAATATACAATGTTAAACGAGGCCAGTCCAGGCCCAGGGCCTCCGTTACCCATCATCTGGCATGTCAGTTCATAATGACCTCCCTATGTTTGCAAATGAAACTTTCTGATTCTGATTCAAATCTGATCAAAATCATCATCTCTCCTCACCCTCTGTTTACTTAGAATTTCATAATAAGTTTCATTATATAGTTGGCACATGGTATTAAAATTTAATTTATTCTTGGTGTCGGTGTCGGTAAGTATCGGAGAAATGTTTCTCTTATAAAATAGTTAACGGGCCTACGGTTTTGTTTATTCTGATTTTAACGTAACAGAAAGATTAAAAAATGTACGATAAGTACCCATAATGGACAGCTACAATCCTAATATCACCTCAGTAGTATATACCTACATTTGTAGTTAGGTAGGTGCCAGCCTAGGCAAATAATTCGTTAATACGCCAGTGAGCCCAATCCGCTTACTGCCGAAAATTAATCAAGCCGCCAGACGCGTCTTAAAGGGGATAGACCGCGCTTTGCCAGATATTCAACTTCGTGTAACAAAGTTTTGAAATGTATATTTCATGTTGAAAAAACACATATTTCAGAGAAAATTACATGCACAAGATGAAACAGAAAGTCGTAGTCATATATTAGGTTTATTAACGTATATGAACTACTTATTGGGCAATTTCGCAATTTTAGTCTTAATTTCTAAATATATATTACGATTACGAAATTAGTGATTAATTAAACTTGAAAATTGATGGATAAATCTGAATAAATCTGTCAACCGTGGGAAAGCCATGCCTTCGACACATATATGCCAGCTCGACCGGAATGATATGATGATGATCTATCGTTGCATTTCATTGGGTGCGGGAGATTACTGAAGACCCTCCTTGATTCTGGGCGGCGATAGTCACTTCCCATCTAGGGTTTCTATGAGTTTATTTTACATTAACACGATCGTCGACGATGACAGAATCCGGCGTTGCGATTGTTTAGAGATTGATTCGGAGTTTATATAAAATAAACTCCCACTAGACCCTAGTTGACCTGTTTGTCCCTTACACCATAAAAACTCTGTAGAATCCGCCTAAAAAAATAATCATTGAAACAATTTTTTTATCATTTGTCAGTTGCTTGACGTTGTAATGTGTAGCTAGAGCAGCAAAATTAAGTAAGCAAGTCCAAAAACTAGAAAACTATATGAAACTAAATATTTATTAGATTTTTATAGGAGGACAGTCATATAAATTTATACAGCCATCTTTTGATACCGATATCAGTTTCTTATTCGAACTGTCGAAGTGAACGCCCCATACCTGTAAAAGAAATTGGACTTTCAATTTACTTGTACCATTGGATAAGCAAAAATTAAAATCTATATATATATATATATTCCATTACTCACTAAAATTAAATCGTTCTACGGCAACCTCTTTAACAATTTTTAAATACAAACTGCATTTCATTCTTGTGGCAGGTATGTATTTTCAAAAATATTATGTAAGTAACCATTTCATCTATTAATACAATTTAATTTTGATTTTCACTACATTGTTTGGCAAAAAAGCACTAAAAAATTATATTTATCATGTTTTATACTAAAGTAATAAGAAAAAATATTATATTCTGCCTACCTCCTTGCCAATGAAAACGTAGCTTACAATTTTTAGTAAAAGAAATATTCTGTTTAATAAAAACACGAAAAAAACAATGACATTTATTAAAATAAGGAAATATAATAAAACACAAAATGCTTACAGTATCAGTATGTTCCTCAAAAGTATTGAGTAACCTAAAATCACGTGCAGCTACCCGGACACGACCGTCAGCTGCGCCCGTTGCCAACTGAGTGCCGTCAGCAGAGAAACACACGCACACCGCCCACGACTTGTGCTCTAACTTGCATTGGTGTTTAGCAGTAACACTGAACATAAAAAAAAAGCAAAATCACTTTCCACAGACTCTCAAACATGCGTAAAAATTTAAAAACTTGCTTCTGTCTTCACTGATGTTGAATATAATAATAATTCACACACCTTACACGCAGCTGTCTGATCTGAACTATGATATACAGACTAATGATTAACATACTGATATATTTTTAAATACATATATATTATAAAGAAATTACACCTGGAAAAAGAACAAAAGATCTCGTGGTCATCACACAATTATTTGGAGGTAATAATATAATATTTGATAATATTTTCGATCATCTTACACACAACGCCATCTAGTTTCAAACTAAGCAAAGCTTTTACTATGAAAGTTAGATTGACCCGGGAATCGAACCCTAGACCTCAGCACAGCAGTCGCATACGCTAGCACTGCACCACCGAGGCAGTCAAATGAGTGGGAATTGAACTCACGACCACTGGCCTAGCAGTCAGGATCACCAACAGTTAGACCAGTAGGCCAGTCTCAATGTAGATTTTATTAATCAATTTAACTATCCCGATTAAGATGATCAATAGAACAGCTACAGTATGAAAGTGTAATAAACAACATACATATGCAATTATAATATTAGATAGGATAAATTTACAATACTAACACTCCATAAATGCTGGCAAGTCCATCATTAGAAGCGGTAGCGACCCGTGTGCTGCAAGGCGAAAATGCAACGCCGCGAACTGGAAGCGAGTGAGCTTCTATTGTATGCAGTACTTTGCCTTGCTGTACATCTAATATGCAAAGAATGCCATCTTCTAAGCCAGCTGCTATGTATTTTCCATCCGGACTCTGATAAAGACGAATTTACACTGTAACAGAATCTCTGAATTTCAAGTTGTGGTCCCACTTACGTAGTAGAGGGCAAGTCTATTGCCGTTAACCTAGCACTTTGTAGATTAGAAGAGAGTATTGGAAGTACATTGAAAGGAAATGTAGATAAGAAGGGAAGGCAATGGCAGGAAAGGGACCTTGTTGCCTGTGGTGAAATAGTTTTGTGCCCCTGCATTCAGGAGGCCAATTCTCGTAATAAAAGTTCGGTCTCAATTCAGTTTAGATCAACTTTCGATCTCACAACTGTCATAACAGGTATTTTCGTAGTAAAGTATTAAATATCGAATGTTGAGTGTAATGTGATTACATCATAAAATTGAATCGGTACTCAGCTAGTCTTAGTAATACTTTACCATTTTACTATGAAAACCATTTTTATGACAGTTGTGAGATCGAAAGTTGATCGGAATTAAATTGTGACCGAACTTTTATTACGAGAATTGGCCTTCTGATTTTATGGGAATGAGATACAATCAAAATAATATTTGCAAAGCTTGCTAAAATCATTGTACTTGCAACCTACTTATTTATATTCATATTCCTTATTTTACACCAAATAAATGAAACTATCCTGCCTATCAAGCCTTCCTTTGTACACACGACCCATTTGCAATACCTCATCCCTCTTACATATAGACACAAAAAGCATATAAACTACAACATATAAAACAAATAACATGGCATTAAAAAGTATATTCCTAGACTTTTTCAAATTAGAAATATAATTAAAGGTTTCAACTTCCCGTACTTAAAGGTTTCTAAATATGTATTGTATTTGAAAAATCAAACTGCAGAGTAAACTTACCCAATCTACACTTAGGATAAACTTCCCTCTAGTGTCCAAAACTCTGTTTATAGCCCCATCATTAACACCATATATAAATATTTTTCCTGTATGACCACCAGTTGCCATTTGTTTACCATCAGGGGAGAATACCACCTTCCAAACATCTGACTCACCAATTGGCAACTCAGTTATTTGTTTTCCAGAACTAGTATTCCAGAGAATTAAGTTTGAATCTAGTGAAGCACTCACTATTGCTGTAAATTTCATAAAATAAACTTTAAATAAGAAAAATTAACAAAACAATGTATATTCACAATATAAATATGTATATACGTGTGCTGGTATGTGTATGTATATTTGTGTGTGTACTTTTTAACTCTATATCCTTTATAGATATAATCAAAATGAAACCTAAGGAACAAGCAAGTGCAACTATCTGATGGTCAACTCTGGCACCATTTACTAGTTGGTAAATCAAATAATGTGTGCTTCCCGGTTACAAACTGCCATGCAATTTAGAAAATCTCTTACACAAATTGCAGGAAAGCAACAGTATAGATGTGACACATTTATAAAAAAGTTCATGCATACTCACTCGAAGCACAAGGACTAATGGCAACAGACACCACACCCATTGTGTGGCCCTCTAAAGCGTATTGCAATTGTAATCTGTTATTCTGGCATACCCACAACTTTACTAGACTGTCTAGTCCTCCAGTTACTATTAAATCTTTTGATGCAATTCTATAAAAAAATACACAAATTTATTACTCATTACTACAACTGAACTGACATTATTGCAGGAAGTTATTAAGTATACAGATTGCATGTGTGTTATGTATGTTGAAGCGAAAAGCCACATCACTTATCGGAGTAGCAGCTAGTGAGGTGACTATATATGTATTACACAAACAGCGACACACTGTATAATAAGAAATTGACACATCTCACAGACTCCTGTATGATCAGAAACTAAGCAAAGCCTATACTATGATCAGACTGCTGATAAACATACTTAAATATTTCTGAAATTATTATAGATGTGTGTGTATATCCATGTGGCGATGGATAAATAATAAAAAGTTTTACCAGCCCTATTCATCATATCATAAGAGTAAGCTAAAACTATGACAACAGCACTGCAAGGAAGAGGAAAACTTGTCAGAAACTCTATATCAACCCATCTGGCCAGAGTGGTACAGTGGGTCAAAACCTCCTTTCTAAGGAGAGGCCTATGTCCAGCAATAGACTTTTGAAGGTTATTGATGTGTGATGTGATGATGTGATATTATAGATAAATTACACCCAGATGTGCTGGGTGCAACTAAATTAAATGATCATGCTCGTCACAAAATTATTTGTTCTGGAGCCGGGAATGAAATCTGTGACCTCTGATTTGGCAGTCAGGATCACTAACCATTAAATAAACAATCCCATCAATTATGTATGGAGACATATAAAATGGAATTTAATCATTAAATTAAAGGAAAACAAAACTCACGCAGAATCGCCCGCAGTACTAGACTTGACCCAATCGCAACAATAGATGGGATCGTCGTGTGCATTTTCTTTTCTTAATAATATGGAATACTGCAAATAAGTTAATATATGATTGAATGAATTGAATCATTATTGTGAATTGATTAATTTTCACAGCTCATATAAAATCCTTACTGAAACATTCGCCGGCATAATTGTGTATCTTTCAGTACTTTATTTTACTAAAAATTAAAAATATTATTAATAAATTCAACTTGGCATTTGCTAAATCAAAATATTGTTTTGAGTTTTTGCATCGATGTTGCTAGTTATTAAACTTGTTTTCCATAGTTCTAGTATACTGAAACTACAAAATGTGTATTCTTGACTTGACTTAAATGTGTAATCTTGATTAAATCCTTTTGAAGTTGAGTTAATAAGTAATTTTGAACCGAACGACTCTAATGCATATCCTATTTGTAATATTTATAATGTATTACACGAGTTAACCATACATTTAGCACTGAAGTTTCGATCGTTATTTTATCGAAATAAACGTACATTGTAAACATCCAAAAGCCTCTAATTCAACAGAATTCTAATTTTTCTTGTGCATGCCATACACATCAAGTCATTCGAATGCAAGTTCTTTATGAGCTCATTTCCCCCTAAATGTACGGAAAACCCTGGAGTGAACAACACTATTCCCCGTATTTGACAGCGCACATTTTTTTTTATTGACATACTTTGCAACGTTCAGAAATATATTAGAGTATAATTTTCCTTACAATGAAAAAATATTAAATATAAACAATAATAATTTTGCATGATATATTTGCATTATATGATGTATATATATGATGTATATATTAGGTATATGTGTATGTACTACAAAATTAAAGAATGGAAAAAAGAGTTCAGCATAGAAGTGAAGTCGATAGTTTCTAAAATCTGTTTTGACGTTGAAAACATTAACAAATATACTAATAATATTAATAATAAAGTAAAATATAAAGTTATTCTTTCTGTTGTAGGTAAATTCCCTCAATACAAATTTAATTGCAATAGTTTGCCAGACTTCTCTAGTACCTTGAGTGCACTCATGAAAATGATTTAATTTATGGGTTTATTCAATAAATGAGCGGTTTTCATAAGTATTCTGTAACTTAGTCCAAACATTAAAAAAACATAATTTCAATAATTCATGAATAATGGGTTATGACTTATGTATGAACGAAAAATGTGTCTTTCTCTGTTAAACTATTTAATAATAAGAGAAGAAATAATATAACCTTTTTAAAAATTACATTGCCACAACATCAAGATGAATAAAACTGCAATGAACTGTATTCTTCATTACTTAATTTTTACCAATGCTATGATATATAAGTATTGATATAAAGATAAATTAAGCCATAAAAGAAAGAAAATAAAAAACAGTCATAATTTTTAAAATTATTAATAATAATATTTTTTACATTATAAAGGACAGTCATAAATATTCATACTTTTATCTTCTGAAACAGACATAATCTTGTTACTTTCTGAATTAAACTTTACACCCCAAACCTGCAAATAAAGAAGATTCCAGTAAAGTAATAATATTTAAGGCAATAACATATAAATGTTAGTTTTATATTTTATACCTGGTCACTGTGTTCTTTAAATACATGTTGGCACTGCATGCTGTCTAAATCCCAAACTCGGACTGTTCGATCTGCGCTACCAGATGCAAAACGCTTTCCGTCTGGAGAAAATGCAACTGAGAGTACCCATGACGCGTGACCTGATAGAGTACCAGCCAAGTTTGCGTGAGCCCTAGAATGAATATAAATACACTTTAGTTTCTTTATTCTGTTCAAATAAATATTTCACTTTCAACATCACAAAATGGTTTCAAGTTTAATTTATTGCTAAATAGCTTACAGTAAACATTATTTTTTTCTGGGTGAGAGGTTTCTGTGCCTTTGACAGTTGAGTAGTTAAGATGGCAAAGGCAACACCACAATGGCATTAGCTCTTCATCTGATGCTACACTGTACAGTAGTTACCGGTGAAAGCACTGTACAGTGGAGCGGCACATGATGAGTTAATGAACCTATTTTGCACAATTGTTGTACTTCCATAGTTGGCCTTTGAGTCAAGCAAATATCAGCTGTGTCTTTCTTCTAATTGGGTCTTACTAATGCGACAGTTACGAGTAGGTCTAACTAAACCCTCTACTTCAAACTCAACTTACACATCATAAAGCTTCATATGGCCATCATCAGAGGCAGTTAAAAGCAGTTGAGAGTCTGGGGAAAAACAAAGACTTCTAATAGGCATAGCGTGGCCTTCCAGTGTGTGCACCAACTTTCCTTGTGCTACATCAAATATGCTAATGATACCGTCCAAAGCTCCACTAGCTATGTATTTGCCATCTGGACTCTGGAACAATCCAATAATAGTATTACCCTAAATTTAGAAATATTTTGTTTAGACTTAAAAATTTGATCTTTTTTACTGTTCTGTAAAATATTAAATAATTGAAGCTGTGTAAGCAAATGATTAAAGTGTAATTTGTATATTATTTGTTATGATATATTTTTTCTTTTGTATGACATTTTTCAAAACACATTTATTATATTAAGACATCAGTGGACAGTTTTTTGTTAGAGTTTAATGATCATTCTTGTAATGATCATTAAAATCTAACAAAAAACTGTCCAATGACTAAAAAATACAGATTTAACACAATAAAATATCTTACATAAGCAACACTTAATGTGAATTTGCCTCTTGTGTCCAATGTCTGTTCTTGCTTTCCACTTTCTACACTAAATATCAGGATTTTCCCTGCATTGCTCCCAGATATAACATGTTTGCCATCAGGTGAAAAATCTAGAGTCCAGACATCTGTGGGACCTGTTTCCATTGTTTTAAGCTTCTCCCCATTTGTTAAGTCCCATAAGATAAGAGAAGAGTCTTGAGAACTGCTTGCAAGGACTAAAACAAATACACAATGTCATTTATAAAGTTAAACTGAGGTTTAAGACATTGTTTCCAGTTCTGTTACAATTTCCTCATTTTTATTTAAATTTGTCTTTCCAAATCCATAAACAAACTAACAGGACAAAAAAACTGCAAAGAGAAGGAAAACTTGACACAAACCCTATACCAACCCGTCTGGCCAGCGTGGTATAGTAGGCGAACACCTCCTTTCTAAGGAGAGGCCTATGTCCAGCAGAGGACTGTTAAAAGCTGTTGATGATAATGAAATCCATAAATATACATGTAAAAGACATGTACATGTATTATTCATATTATCTATAACAAAAATACAGACATAGTAATATTGGCTAGCTGGAGGCTATGATATGATAATAAATAAACATAAAATAATCAAATAATAAAAATGTTAAAAGAAATTACTAAGATGATATATAATTTTAGCATTGTCTGCATTGAATATAAAATTCGATAATAATAATAGATTGTTACTTTTTCCATCAGGACTAACAGCAACTGAGATTACTCCAAGTGAATGTCCTTCTAATTGAAATTTCTCTTCAAGTTTACCATTCTCCAGACGCCATATCTTTATCAAATCATCTAAACCACCAGTAATCAAAAAGTCTTCTGAACTTGGCTGTGTGTGATTTGAATCCCTGAAATTATGATAAAATAAATGACTACACGGTTAACCAGTAAATATAACCACCAGATGTTTCATGCGTTAAGATATAACCTACTGCGAATTTTCAATGTGTTCACCATTTTTCTCAGCTTCTTTGGGCTTCTCGTGCTCTATTTTACTCCAGCCACAACACCAAATTGAGTCTTCATGAGCATTTTCTCTCTTCAAGTGTAAGTAGTACTACAATCACGAAATTAGAAGTTTGCCGGTTATTTCAATACGTATTTTTTCATTTAAGGTTCTATCTCAACACTTACCAGAGTTGTTATTGACATGGTCGTATAATACCAGGAAAATCGTTGTAAAACAGGATGCCTGTTCTGTGATTACAGTTTTTTTAGATTATTAAGAACTACTGTAAACCGACGAATCTTCAGTATTTTATGTCACAAAACATCACTTATCTGACATTACGGATAGTACTATTTAATTGACAGTTGACAGTGTCTAGTGTCTATGTGACAGCATTTCGTTTTAGCACCCAAGCAAAAAAAAATTGAAAAAACTACCACCAAGAAAGTCATCGTGGCTCATGCACTTTCAAGGATCAAATTATCTAAGCGGTTACTGAATCCTATTAATAAAAATTGATTGAGGATAAGTCCCGAAATATATTTGGTCACTTGAATATCTTTAAGGAAATATTGTGAGAAAGAAAACTAGGTTTTGAATAAAATAGGATGATTTTTTAATGTAGAAGATGTGGTATCGACCATCTTATCTTCACATGTGACACAATGCGTGACACATATGGCATTTCAAAGTGAATAATATAAATAAGTTTAGGACTTAAGGATTAAATTCATTAAATTCGTACTTTTTTACATCTTTATTAGTTTCTTCAGAACTTCCTTTAGAGCCACACTTATTTATTTAAAAAGCTTTTTATCTTTTCAGTAATTTTCCCAGCTAATTATCTCTCATAACACTTGTTTGAAAGCCAGATCATTTTTGGTGGTAGATTAATTGATGTGGTACCTACACTTTTTTACAAATATAGTATAGTAGTTTATTTGAAAATAAAGTGGTCGCACAGACTGCCAGTTTGAAGTTTCCAGTTTATTAAATTTCGCGGTTTTATACATATGGTAAATAGTCTGAATATAAACAAAGGAACAAAATCAATTTATTAATAATGAAACTACAATGCCAGGTAGAAATCGTAAACAGATTACATAGTAATTTGAATATAAGATCAAATGGAAAATATATAAAATCAACGTTAGCGCTAGGAAAGGAACCCAAACGTGAGGCAGATTATTTTATAATCCACTTTTCATCAGTTAATAAAACTGGAACAAAGTATAGTGTGAAGCGACTTAAACAAGTGTTTAGTAAGTGTTTGAACGAAGGAAAAACTACATTAAGATTTGAAGAGCCGCCTCACGACTTGTGTGTAAAAAGCGAGGCTATTCAGTTGAAATGTTTCATGCGATTACTTAAATCTTGCATTACTGGTGATGTTAAGAACCTACAAATAGCTCCTTTAACAAGTTTAAGTGTCACTCAAAAAGATAATGCGCCTACTAAACTCGTAATACGCGATAGAAGTGATTTTCCAATTAAGGGACTCCCAAGAACTTTAGAATCGCTTTATATCAATGGTCTGAAACTGTGCAACTTCCGCAGAGATATCTTGTTACTAAAGCAGTTGACGATTCTAGATCTTAGTAATAATGCTATTGAAAAGCTACCTGCTGAATTTGGTAAGTGAATAAAAACTTTAATAGAATAGTAATTAAAGTATAGCTTCACTCTACCATTAAATGTCCTTAACAGGTCGAATGCCGAATTTGTGTGAACTCTATTTATCAAACAATCAAATTGGTGTGAGGGGTGATGTAGATTGGCGATGGTTACTTGGACCTCAGGTATAATAATACTTATTACCATTCATGTAATAGTTCAGGAGGCCTGGTGCGGGTTTATTTCAAATCATCTCCCCGAATGTGGGCTAATGGCAATGCTGAACACGGTTACCGAGTTTACTCACACTAGGCCCCCTGAAAGAAATTGTTTTGAGCTCAAATATATAGTTTAAAACAATGTATTTTTTCAGATTACAAGTGTCCTCAAACTGTTAGACTTGAGTGGAAATAAATTAGGTCATCTACCACAATCAATCTGGAAATTGCAGAAGTTAGTTACATTAAAATTAGACAACAACATGTTAGAAAAATTACCAACTACACTAGGCAGATTGTCTACTTTAAGGTACACACTACAAATACTTTAATAACTCTAATAAAATTATTCTTTTTGGTCTGTAGACTATGTTATATTATCTTCTTTATACTGTTTTATAATTCATTAATTCAACCATAAATTTCACTTTTCAGGTACTTAACAATTTCACAAAATGAGATTACTTCTCTACCTTGCAGTATACTACAATGCCGCTTAGAGTACATAGACTTGTCAGAAAACAAGTATGATGTAAAAGAAACAAATATGGCACCCATACAACATACTCCATGGGATTTCTACATAGGGAGCTTAGTAGATATTGCTTCCAAAGTTGTGTTAAAACAGAAATTCTTCTATGCTCCAAACATTATACCAAGGACTTTAGTCGAGTTTCTAGATAATGCAAACATGTGCATCTGTGGTGCTCCTGTAGTAAACAACAGCTATTATATGAACAAAGAGTTTGAATTAAAAGATTTTTTTAGAGTTGTCGTATTTAATAGTAATAGGAAAAGTACTGTTACAGTCCAATGCTATTTTTGCTCACCTAAATGCTTTAATAGATAATCAATTTTGATGACAAATTAATTATATGATAATGAAACAAGAAAGTGGTCAATAAAACTTATTTATTAAATAGTTTTCTTAATCAAGGCCCTCAAGTTTCCAACTGACTTCTGCAATCACTGGTGCTATTCTGATGTGTGGTTCTGAAAAAAAAAAAAGGAAAACATACTGCCTGAAAATAGCTCAAAAAAAAAAACATTTTAATTACTAATAAAGGTTTTTAAAAACTACCAATTTCAAAAAAACCAACACATTTATAGTAAGACCTATAATGTAATCGATAATTTTAAATAATATAATTAGGGCACTAGTATTATAGAAGAATACCTACTCTATTATGTTGGGTTTAGTTGTAAGTTTGAATTAACTAAAAGAATTCTGTGTTTTGATTTAAAAATGTACTGTTTAAATATTAAGAAATTGTTGTCAATTAAAAAAATATGCAATAATGGATACATAAAGCTACTGGGGGCTACCATATACATTGACCATTTGTGTGACCATTGACATGTGACCATTTATTATTATTTTTTTCTTTTATTAGACAACTCCCGCCTAAGAGTATATCCTGTGTTGCAGGAGACTTTATAAACATACATGAAACGGACAAAAAGAAGAAAACAAATAAACAAAAAAAATGATCGTAATTCGAAACTAGGCTATTTTAGGTATCAATGAAAATCTAAAAGCATACTAACCAAGTGTGGCAATACCCTGTGGTATTACACTTTGTCCCTCTGGAACATTCAGGGCAGCTATGCTAGCATTAGTCGCTTCTAATACTAATTCGTTTGTCCAGATGTCTTTGAAGCTGTCCTTCATTTCTTTTAATGTTTTCTCCAATGATGTCTGTAACGAAAAAGTTTATTACTACCTTATATACTATATTAAATACATTAAAAATATAGTGGGCTGCTTAGTCGCAGCTGAAAAGGTAGTGAGAGCGAGTACAAAAATTATAAATAACAACACTTTCTGTTGTCTAATAGGCAAAATATCAATATTTTTGAAAAAAATTAAAATACTTTTTGCTTACATTTTAAGAGCCGTGATATATACTACAGGCCTTTGCCGAAATTCGTACATACACAATAAACATTTATTCACGTATAAACATTTGAACACGTTCATAAAATTTAGTGGCGCCGTAAACGAGCTATGCGCATACACTGCACATATGCTCATACAATGTGAAAATCTGCTTTAGTCGAGTTTAGTTTGTTAGTTTAGTCTTTGCCGTTTGCAAAGGCCCTATTAACACACAAACTATCCATAATTTAAACAATTTTTATTACATTGTCGTTATAATGCTGTAATAAATACTAAGATGTTAAAAATGATTGAGTGAACATACCTGCAAAATATATGCTTCCTTATCCTTGTAAAAGTAAGTCAGAGCTATGACAATCTCTTTCACAAGTAACCTCAAATCGAATGTAGAACAGACCAGAGTGTGCAGAGCCATCACCAGCGCAACATCTTCATATTGCGAACCTTCTTTGAGCGAAGCAACTTTACGTTCGTGTTTTCTTCTGTTTTTACTTGAGCGAAATGATCGGCTAAAAGTAAAAAAGCAAAAGTTGCAGCATCTACTAAGGCTATCTGAGACATTGTGTTTTATTATTGCATGTTTATAAATATAAATACTTATTTTTTCTATAAATTTGTTAAGGTTACCTATCCGTATATGTACAATCATTTTTTAAAGAACTCCCTTACTAGGGATATATCTTGCTTCGAGGGGGAACTTCACCAGCATCCATCGAACGGGCACAAAGAAAACCCAGACTCAAAACAACAATTTGTGGATCACACAAAGTGTTGCGCAGTAAGAAGCGGCGAGGTAACCGCTTAAACTAGCTGACCCGCTCAACTTCGTCTCTCAACAATAATAAATTTTCCCCATATTTGCAAAAACATTTTGCCTGAGAACAGTAGTTACTGAGATTAACGTGTTCAACCAAACAATCTAGTCAGCTTTATAATACAAATATTAGTATAGATAATATAATAAAACATGCTAGTTTAATAAATATCTCTGTATCAAAACTCAAAATATCTTTATTTCATAAAAAACTAAAATTGTTTGAAATCGTCTTTATGTAAACTCTAAAGTCATAGATCAACACACAACAGCACCAATCTCTGTTTAGTCGAATATTTATCAAAATAAATGCAATAAAATTATACCTATCGAAACCTATTATATGCCTGTGCCGATCTACAACTGCCTGTTTCCAAGGGGTTCAGCCTTATAAGAAAGGCCAAACAGAGATGTGGTCAGATAGGGTATTCCTTGAAAGAGGTTACAAGCTATTTGACATCACGCTACGAACCTTAGGACCATGATAACTGTAGTGAAAGGTTAGCAGCGTTAGGTATAAAAAAATTGATCCAAGTCTAACTGTAAGGTCTACCTTAGGGTATTCGTGATTATAACTTATATGTAATTATAGGTAAGTAGTGTGTGCGGTTTTTCTGTAAATTTAATAAACAATAAATCACCTTTACCTTGATCCCCTTGAAGAGGAAGCTAGTGTACTCCCTGCATCAGAGTATAAATCACTGTCTTTGTTTGTGTAGAAATCAATTGTGTCAACAGGGTTTTTAATTTTATTAGATCTTACAACTTGTAACCGTTCTCGATGCTTTACAAAAGTTGCCAAATTGGTTGTTATTAATTCGTTTAAGTTATCATAATCTTCTAGTAATGCTGGTAGTACTTTCTTTTCTGGAAAATGAAAATGTAGCATTGAAAACAAAGGCTCGAAAAAGCACTATCTGATAAATATCATGTCATACTCAATTACCTTTTAAATCAGGTCTTTTGTATTGAGAACATACCCTGAGCGCCGTCTTATACTGTCCAAACTCAGTGGCATATGAAATAACTTCTTCATGATTACCATAATATTGCTCTAAGATAGAAAGGCATTCTTTGTGGCGTTTTTCTTCCTTTAACAATTCTATTAAATCCCTAAAAAATATATTGAACTCAAACTTTGTTATGTTAGTTAATATGAAAACTTGAAAGAATTAAACAGAAAGTAAAATTAGGTACAGATAATGTGGTGTAAATTTATGTAATTTACACCACATCATCCATATCTAATTTTGGCGTATCTAATTACGTCGCGATAATCTATTAAGTGAAAAGTTCCTATAGTCTCTATACAGGTTCAGTTTTATTCAATGACAGATTATTTGCATTGGGCATTAAGTATAGGAAGGGAAAACTGACGAGTGATATTACAAATTGAATATCAATGCCAGCCTAACTATTTGTTAAAAAAATTCCATACATAGAATTATCAGATATATCTACAGAGAAAGAGAAAAATTAGGAGACATACCAACATAAATTCTTAAATTGTTCTTTTGGCCATGTGATTGCCAAACTCACAGCCAGCTCCCACTCCAAAGCATCTTTGTAACATTCAATAGCCTTATCTACATTATTAGCTGTTTCATATATTATACCAGCTTCTGTATACTGTTTCTTTAGTTTTAAATACGAACCAAAATCGTCGGCTATTTCTTTAAATATCTTATCACTTGGCGAAAATAGTGCCAAAGCTTCTCTATATAGGCTGTGATATTTCACGAAAGTTTTAAGTTCATTATGTCTGCTAGGACCACACAGAACAAGACTTTCGACTGCCCTGTCAAACCTCTTTAAATGTTTGTTGATTGTAAACCTCTTGTAATTTTCTTCCATTTCATTTAATTCGTCCAGCATTGGAACATATTCCTTAGGATCTTTCTGTGATTTATTAGCAATTAGAAGAACTAAGTCAAAATCATACATTCCAAGTGCTACATCAAAGAGATTGTTCACATCAACCATATACAGCAAATACTTTAATGCTTCATCTGAACCAACAGCTAACTTTGAACCAGATGATTCTTGAAGCTTTAGTTTCTTAATAATTAAGAGAGCCTTTTCCAAATCTTCAACTGTATTTTTTTTAACAAAAGAGGTTAGTATGGGTAGTATCTTGGTATCTCTATCTGATCGCTTTTCTAAATGTTCCTTAACGATTGTACATATTGTTTTAATTTTAGAATCAGAATTCACAACTGGCAAAAGCATTTCTGATGTTGCTACATAACTACTGGCATACATTGTTTTTGTCACATCTACATTTTCTAAGTCAGATAAAAAGAGATTCAACCATGAGTTATTTTTGACCGATTCCAAAAAAGTGTCAATATTGCTAATGAATTTTTGTGGGTTGTGATCATAAATGAGATTTAAATTGATTCGCTGTTTTCTCATCAGATCAAATGCTTCATGATATTGCAGTTTATCAAGAAATTCTCCTATAATTTTAAGTGATAAAGGTCTTGGTTGAATTGTTTCTAGATTTCCTCTAGGTAGTTGAAACACTGTTCTTGTATCATTAGGTACAGCAATCACTAATTTTGCCCCCCTCTCTATCTTTCTTTTATAAACATTATTGGATTGGGTTTTCTGATATTCAGAAATGGCATCAATACCATCTTTTGTTAATTCTACACAAAGTAATACATGTTGCAAGGTAGTGAGCAGAAGAAAATGGGTGTGTAAATAGTATGAGCTGACATTGTTCATTACCATTTGGTCATTGATATATAACTGACCTTTGTGAGACAGACCTATAAAATATAAATCATTTTTTAATAAAAACACTTTAAATTTAGGACATGAGACACCAAAAGAAAAATCTTGAATGTCAATATCTCCTCCTAAATTATAAAGAATTATATCTCCATTCTGTAGTTGCAAAAATAATGAATTATTCTCTATGGGATGTGTTTGAATCATTGTTATAGATGCAGGCAATGAACTAGAATTTTTGTTTTCAATTTTATCAATTCCTATTCTGTATTCAACTATGCTGTAGGTATTATCATCTACCATGACACAAATTACTGTGTCAGCATTCACCCAAAACCAGTTATAACATTGGAAAGCATATTCAACCTTTTCAACTTCAACTGTTTTGAACAGTTCATATTGAAGTGGAAATCTATTTGTGTGTTTGTAAAATACTAATTTATTATCTGTGGTGTAAACAAAGAAAGAATTTGGACTGATTTCTGTACATTGTGGGGCAAAGACAATAGAAGTGACATTTGCATTTAGGTTTATTTCAGATGAACACATAGGAGGAGGTACTACAGTTTGTCTGAAGCCAGTGAGCAAAACTTTCTTGCCATCTATAACACCAACTACAGCATCATCATCATCTCCATTGCCTCTACTGTGATCCACATTCCATATCCAAGTATATGAGAGGTGCTTCCCATTTTGCAAAAATACATGTAGTTTCTTATTATTTACAATATCAAAATCATTATCCCACATCACTTTGTTTATTTTCTGGTCACTTTTGAATTCTAAAGTCTGCTTCAGATACCAGTGATAATTCCCTGTGGTATAGAGTAATAAAGTCTGTGTATTTGTCTCTGTGTCTCTACACTGTAGAGTGAGTATTTCAGAATCATAACTCCAAGCAATATCTTCTATTGATGTGGTAGAATTGACAGGTATATCAAACTCTCCATGTTTAAGTCCATTCTTTTCAAAGAAAGAGACCATATATTTGTTGTTCAATTTCTGTGTGGTAGCAAGGAGGTTGCCACTTGGCCTCCATGACAAATTTGCTTCTAAGCCTTGCTGTTTTTCACTTGTATATTGTAAGTGTCCTTCTTTATCAAATACCTTGAATCTTCTGATTCCATCTATAGTGAAGCCAACTGCATACAAGTTACCATCACCCCGCCATGATATAATAACTCTCTCATCCAGTAAAGTTTCATCTGAAAGTAATTTATTGTGGTATCTTTACATAGTAAAAAGCCCTTTTTTTACGCTTAGATCTTTCAAAGTAAGCAACAGATTTTAATTAATTTTTGAATTACATCTCTTTTGGTCTTCTTCATTAAATGATATAAATCAAATATTTATTAATGTTTTCAATACTCCTATATATAATAGATAAGAATTGAGTTATAAACAATATAATTGAACAAAAGTTCATATACAAGTACATTATGTTGTTTTTTTCAGAATGCTGTTATATTTGTAGAGCATTATGTAAAACCTCCTTTCTAAGGAGAGGCCTATGTCCAGCAGTGGACTAGTATAGGATGATGATGATGATGATGATGTAAAAAATCAAACCAGGCGGAGAAAAGAAGAAAGTTAACTGGGAATAATATTAATATGTAACATGGTAACTCAACGAGGCAAACACTTTTACTAAATCAGTAGAGGAATAACTTAGTAGGATACTCCTACTAAACATGAGAAGCAACTGGACAACAAATGTATTTACAGTTTGCAACTATCCTCCAGCTTAGATCAGAAGTGAAATAATACTAATAGGAATCTATTAGGATTCACACTTTTATCAATTGTTTCAACTGCCTGCCTGTCTATCTATATAATAATAATAAAATAAAATTGACATAAGTATATTGATCTACTGTTAGCCAAAGCTAGATACTCTTAGTTTTTTACACCTCAAATGACACATGACATAATAATATAGACTGATTACCTGCAGTAACTTCACTCTTCACTCTTGCCTGTTTACCAGCTGACCCATGAAACTGTGTCTCCTTTTTCCCCCAGCCTACAGTGATAAACTCTTTCTCTCCAAAATCATCTTTTAATAAATTCACCTCATTGATGGGATCAAACATGTTCATTAAAATCATGTTCATGTCTTTTGTAACTAACACCAATAATTCCTGATCAGGACTCCACTCCATAGCCTGACAGTCAAAATAGCTTGTTAGATAATACACATTAAAAATATTTTTAGAATAAAGCTTTTCAGTGAAATATAATTGTACACATAAACTAACATCAAACAACCTTTAAATATGAACAAGTATTACATTTCAATAGTAATTTGGTTTTAGATATAATAGTCTCTGTAAGCTGTTGGAAGCATATTAGTTCATCAATAAACTGTGTTCATTAATCACTAACAATACTTGTTCAAGTATGCTATAAGTGTAAACTGTGAGTAATCTTTTTATATGTAATGTAAACGGTGACTAATTTCACTTAATCAGGAAGAATAGGAAAAATAAGGAGACGTGAAAACTACAACATACCAATAATCCATTGTCGCAAGTTCCCGTCGGGTCGCAGGTTTTGCCTCCATCAGAAATGGAAATAAGCTCTCCATTTGCAAGTCCCACGCACAAAGCATTAGTCAGAGTAAGTAACGTGATATTTACAGGATTATTATTTGGAGATACGATTTCTGATAAATCTTTACTCCATTTTAATTCTCCATTCTCATTGAAGTTAATCACACTAAGGTTATGTGTACAAACAAATAATTCGTTACAAGAACTGTCTTCATTATGACCACTGCAAACGATTAATTTTCCTTCTGAATGCAAATTGAGATCTTTTACTGATACGTCCCACAGAGATAAGTTCTTCATTATTACAAAATAACAAAATCTTTAATATGTAAACACGTTCTTTACTATACATGTGTTATGTGTACTGTCAATTGTCAATTTGAGTGTTTGACATATATGACAAGATTGCAGACAAGTGTTGCCTTATTGGAACTTTTTTAGTGATCGGTAAGATCTACTATAAACACCGTTACCTTGGCAAATCACAATATGTATAAGTAACTTCTTGATTAGATTAATATTAAGTACAATTTTGGCCTCGAGCGTGCATCGCAATTTGGGTAAATGATTACTGTCGTAAATGATTATTTGTTAATTTATTATTTGGCAATTAAACGTCGCTGCCTTTTCGTAATATGCTGCACTTCAAGGTTACGTGCTCTGTATCAATGGTCATCTGACTGTATCTCCTAACAAGCTGAGTAAATTCACTGAAACTTTTGAATAAGTCTCCCACGTCAACCAGAAATCACTACATGTCTTCGCGCCTTACATCGTCTCAAGAATTTTCTGCCCACTGAAACCAAGGCTACGCTTATACTCGTACGTCCCTTATTACTCCCTTAATCGATTATGGTGATGTTTTATCTTGACCTGAATGCAGACCTTCTCAATAAGCTAGACCGACTTCTCAATCAACGCCGCAGTCTGCATGCACTAACATATCTTTTTTCATTTCTCAATTCGCCATCGTTACCTGATTATCTGGTTCCTCATCTCCGCCTCCTTTGCTCCAATCGAAACCGAATTCTTCGATCAACAAATAATATGCTTCTTTGCCCCTCTCACACTTCCAGCTTCATCAATTCTTCCTTCTATGTACAGTTAGTTATTCTCTGGAATGTCTATTCTAGTTGAAATCAGAATGTCCACTAACCGCTTTACGTTAAAGAAGAAGGTACAAGATCTTCTTCAAAATGAGTTGGCAGAAAGTTCACAACGTATTTATAAACACACAAGTATTTATCATGTATACACCATGTGATGAAACATTTCACAAAAACTGAAATAACAGATAACACGGTTCAATTTCACTTGCTTTTTAAAATCTATTTATTAAAAATACGATTTTATTCACAGATTATTTTTGGGAATGCTCAACTAGCTTCGGACCCGGCCGTAGGTACGTGTCATCCTTAAAAAGTAGGTACTTTGATTGTCACGTAATCTTTGTACCGCCCTTACAAAAATTCGGCAGTCTGTAGGACATACACGTTTGACTCCTGTCTTTAAAGCTAAAGAAGCGTTTTGATAGTTTTCCATAAATTAACAGCATGGCAGGATATTCCGTGGCTGTGAAGGTCACGAACGTCATTATGGATGTTGATACAGATAACCCAATAAAATTGAAAGACTGATAATTCACTCAGTTTCACACTACACTACTCACAGAACCTAATATTTACAATTTTTCAAAATAAAATTAGCGGGACTCGTTACAACACGAAGTCTTACGCACACGATAACATTAATTGTTTACACCATTGCCGTGTATTATGACGAAAGTAATAAGACTAAACAATTATTAACACAACAAAACTTTTCTAAACATATTTGTTGAGAAAATGAACTGAACTGAATGAACTCATGACCACCAACAACATTTTATTACGGTAATTTGTCGTGAGCGCATCTACAAGGACAGAATAGCATAACACTCGCCGGTGGCCGAGGGCCGACCTACTGGACTTATTGGATGAACTAATTAAAAACGCGTGTCCTTCATCCTGATGACGCAATAATCAAAAAATTTCGTTTGATTCGAGTGTAGTAAAAGCGGCATCGTGATTCAAGTCAAACGTGAGGTCAATTATGACTGCATTTACACATGATATTGCAAATTACGAAAACAAAAAAATGAACTGTTTCTAAACCACTGAATGTTTTTTGTTCATATTTTGCAAATCGTCTAGAAATAAAGTGCAGAATATGTGTTTTACAGATTCCTTAAAAGATAGAACACAGGCTGTATATATGTAGTAATGAATAAAGTATTTCATTTATAGTGTCTATATGTAAGTTAGATTTATCTTAAATTAATAAATTTACTATAAATAAAGTCAAATTTTCTGTTTTCTCTTGCACCTACCGCATCATTTATTTACGTCACCCGAAGGTCGACTGGCAGAGAATGCCCTGGGCCTATGTACATGTTGTGCATTAAGTTATATAAATAAAATAAATAAATATTTTTTTACAGACGGGCGTGCTTCCACCCGCGCAAGTTTTAGCGTAGGCTCTTAGAGGTGGAACTTTTACTTCAAATTTTAATGTGACTAAAACGAGAAGAATATACCATCTCAATTAAATTAAAGGATTATTCAAATCGGTTTATAAATGACGGAATTCAGTGGTTACTAACATAAAAAAATATGCTGCCGAATCGAGAAGGTTCTCTTATTTTAAATTAAAAAAGCAATTTCAATTTGACAATTTTATATTACTAAATTTCTATACTAAGATAATATTACATAACTCATTTAACTTCATTATATCCTACACTTTAGGATAATAGGTGGTCTCAAACTTCTTTTTACTTCTAGGATAAGGCCGCAAGACCTTCGGAATATAAGGTGGCAAATGTTCGTCAAGACGCCTCCTGAATGGGTTGATGCCAAGTTCGAATGGTCTCCTCTTAGCTTCAAAGAATCGAGTTTTGAACTTGATTTTATATATGTCTTCCCATAAGTATGTCTCAGGAATTAAAAGGTGTTTTGGCCTATTGGCTACCAAATGCTTGTATCTGGATTCTAACCAACAACGTCTGTTATCATCTTCTATATCAGCAACCACTTGTTCCTCTTTGCCCAGGTATGGCTTCATTTCATGCTCACGATCTTCAGGCGCATTCAGGTAAAATTGAATTAGCATTTTTAAAACTTCCTCATTAAAACCTTTTACATTTCCATTTTCTATACAGTCATAAAGCTTCAGGGGATTTGTACCAAAACAGATATTATGTTTAGGGTTGCTGTCAAATTTGTCATTATGCATTACTATGGTATTCAACTGATATGCATATAATGACCAGTACTGCCCATTTGTAATAATTGTTTGTGTAACTAGTGGATAAGTTATGTCATTAAATGTTGTAAAGCCTTGGTAATTTGCTTGGGATAACAGCCATCCAAAACTAGCCTTTAGAGCTTGGCAGTGTAATGCTTCCAAATTGTCTTCAGGGCCAAATGACTCTTTCCGATCTAGAATGTGACCACGGCCATGATAGGACATAAGACCAAACTCATCATAGTCTCCTGGCCAAAATCCTGTAAGCAAAGTTACAATAATTTTTGTTTATTAAGGATAAATGTTGGTATGCTTTTAAAGGGAATTATTTATTAAATAGTAAATATATATGAGTAGTAGTATATGTAGGTAGTTATTCGGTCATAATATGACGTGAAGTGAAAGTCAATGACAGTGTATCGTCCATTTACGTTAAGAAAAAAGTGACACATCGATCAAGCTCCACACCCCTGGCCAATCAGGCTCCAAGCTTCGAAACGAAACGATAATTTCTTGGAAACTGATCGGTCAGGAGGGGCGGGGCTTGATTGATGCGGCACTATGTCCTTAATACGAATGGACTATAGTGGTCTACACAAAACTTTCATGCTTATCTAAAATGGTGTGTAAATTCCACTAACATGCCGTAGGTAAGTGTAATTCTTTCATGTATATGTATCAACATCATAAAAAAAGTCTCGAGACTATTTTGACTAGTTTTTTTTATGCTTCTACTGAGGCATACTAGCATACATTAAAATGTATAGTATAGTACCCAATGAGCCATGCACACATATATCCAAATGAAGTCCTAATAATAATGTGCCTCCCATATTTTCTTCAAAAGATAATTTTTTATTTTCTTTAAAAAAACATTTATTTTGTTTACCTGGTATGTTGGTACCATGCCTATGGTGATCATAGTAACCTACACTTCTTGGCAAATGATGAAATATTGGAACCTTGAATGCAGGATTTTCTGCTTCACTGTACGGAATGAGGGGTTTCAGTGGTGATCTATTTCTGATTGTTAGCATTGGTGTACCTGTTGAAAAATATTCAGATATACTTAAAAATCAAACTCTTAATATTTAAAAATAAAATAAGTTCACCAGGTAACAGAAAAAAAAAATCTTCACAGGTATTAACACCAAACATATTCAAGTTTATCATTAAATATTTTTAGAATAGAATGTGTCTGTTGCATTTGTCTTATTAAGTATACTAAGTATGAGGACCATACTTGCATTATTAATGGAAAAAGATTTTGAAAGAAAATTGTCCCCTATCTCAATCGAGAAGGCAATAGTGGTCCTGTCACACTCTGTCACATCACATCAAGAGCCTTTAAAAGTCCACCGCTGGATAAAGGGCTTTCCTTAGAAAGGAGGTTTTGGCCTACTACACCATACGCTGGCCAGATGGGTTGGTATAGGGTTTGTGTCGTGGTATAAGTGCGATTATATTAATATTCACATTTTGACTGAGTCACAGTTACTCAAAATAAATTATTATTATTTTATTTTTCACTATGTTTATCTTGAACATCGATGTAATTCTATTACTTTGAACAGAGACCTACTTTCTAAAAGACTAATATTTTAGCAAACTAATACCATTCAGCCAAACTATGAAAACGGGAATTGATAATTAAAAAAATCTTATCTTTGAGGTAGTATTTTTATCATTTCTTTGCGTTACAAACATATTCTAATGAGTTATTAGATATTTGTACTTAATAAATATCAATTTACACAAAGACAGGTTATAGGTGCTACATACAGACTTGTATGATTTATCACATAATTTGAGTATGTATTAGAAATGAAAAGGTACACCTCACAGTTTTTTTAAGAATTATTTTAAAAGTATAATATTTACCAAAAAAATATAATTGTTAAAAATGAATGTTATTATCTACAAAGGATGTACTCAATTTTTACATAGCCCAATTAGATCGAGAACTAGAATTGTTAAATCTTGTTTTTGTTCTCCTATAGTCTTGATTTTTTACTTGTATCACTTTTCACAGGAGGCACAGAAATATTTATTTTTATTTTTAATAAATATCAAGTAAACATTGATCAATATAATTATTTATCAAAAATCATTAAATCAAGAAAAAAATAAATATCAATAATTCAGATCATCAAACCATTTTATCTATCAATATCCTAACCATGTCCCATCACTACGGTTAGGTGCATTTTGTGTTTGACTTTGAAATATCCAATCACAGCTCATTTGACACGTCCTTCGCAACCCGTGCATACACCCAAATTTTGTGAACTCGAATCAGAACAAATATTCAATAATGCGGAATCTTTTAGGGGGTAATCTGTGCCAGGAGTACACACATACCTATATACTGAACAGGTCTGTCAACAGGTTCTTCAATTTTGTCATGTAGCCATTTAAATTGTTTTCTAAAATTTCTTATTGAGGCAGGTGGTTTCACACCACCAATAAACCAAAAAGCTTCATGTCTGGCATCATAGTCTACCTAGAAATTAAAAAGAACTAGTGTATTTTTTTTATCAGACTTCATTTTAGCTTGAGCTCTATCTATATTCATAATGGTTTCTCTTAACATAGGTAGTAAAATTTGGCACACACATTAAGGAATTTTCTATGTTTTAAAAAACTGGGAAAATACACTAGCAAACTGTATTAAAAAGTAGAAAATAATTTTATATGAATAAAGGTATATATAATATATCCTTCATTGTACTACAATTTATAATTGCAAATTTTGTCTGAGCATAGTTCTAAATTAATAGAGATAGTATGTATCTGTGGCTGGTGCCCTGGTGTGAACATATTGACTTTCAAATTACATTTTTTTTTTTAAAAAAGTTGACATTGCTAAATATATTATATTTTCAGTGCAATTGACTTTGGTTACATGTTGAAATCCCACATTTTATTTTGATAAAACTATGCAACATGTTTTTGTGAATGAACATTGATATTTTGTTTTATCAACCTATATACTCTGTATAACCAAAGTAATATTTGTTAAGTGATATCTGAAAATGAATAATCTCATTGGCTCCAATTATACACCTGCCACACACACTTCTCTACATCATCCAAAGGTTAACTAGAAAAAAATGCATATGACATTAAGTCCGCCTTATGCAAAGTATTTGCAGGAAGTATAAAATAAATAAATTAATATTATATCAAAATAATAATTCAACTTGTTTAAATAGTGATATGTTGATATGTGCAGTTACAGCCAACTAAGTTCTGAACCCTATGTTCTGAACAAGTTTAACAACTCTGTGAATAAGTTGATAACTTGTTAGTGAATGATTTGATAACTCTATTATTATGGCAATTATGTAAAATTTCGTTTTATATTGTTAATTTTCAAAAGAATAAGAAGACGGCATAAAATAACTTATAAAACCACTGAAACACAGAAGTTAAACTAATATACCGATTTACCAGACAAGATCAAAACTTTCCAATAGCCCTCTAACAAATTGCAATTTTAGAAATGTCAACATATTCATGCCAGCCTCGCATATAGTAGTATATATGGGTAGTTATTACATTACACATCCAGTATAACAACCAGGCCCACAATCCTTTGTAAAATTAGCAATACTTCTTTTAAAATCAGCCCTCCTGGGCTACTAATCATCCTGTCATGACCTGGCACCCAAATTCTTTGAAAATCTGCTTTATATAAATAGTACCTACTAACCAATAGTTGAATCATAGCCATCAACATAGTACATAACATACATACATCAACAAAGTACTAATGAAATTTGCAATTCAGGCAAAAATCTACTAAACCCTATGTATGTGTATTTTTATGACAAATTATAGCTTAAAGCTTGTTGCGAGAAACAGAACAGTGTGGAAAATGTTGATAAAGTGACATTAAAATAATTACCTGGGAAGACAAGATATGGGGCACTTTATCAGTCAAATTGTTGAATATAATTCTATTTATTTGCCTAATTATACATTTGGATATAGCATCCTCCTTTAGTGAAGCTTCAGATTTAAGTGAAGAACTTTCAAGTGAAGGTGTAAAGTTCCGGCTGAAATCAAATAGTAAATAATTATATCATCATCATCTACCTACCCTTATCCAAATTTGTTTTGAGGTAATATATTTATTCCATAAGTATTGTAATGGTAAATAAAGGAAAACGTAAAAATACATAGCTACTACAGTAAAGTTACAGTAATCTATATTTTATTATTATTTAAATTTTTACACACATCTCACACACGGCAGTTTGATCCCAAACTTGGCAGAGCATGTACTATGGTAACCAGACTGCTGATAAACACACTTATATATTTCTAAATAGATACATATTATAGTTAAAGTACACCCAGACACAGAACAAATGACGGTGCTCATCACACGATTATTTGTTCTGGGTGGTACTTGAACCCATGACCTCTGGCGTAGCAGTCAGGGTCACTAACCACTAGACCAACAAGCCAGGCAATAGGAGTGAAGGACTATATTATAGATATAGACCCTAAACGATACATACATAACTTCAGAAATCTAAAGAGTATTTTTGTAAAAATTTAAATAAAATACATACTCAATGCCATCATTTTCAATTGCAATAGCTTCCTCAACTTGCGATTTAATTTCTTGAGAAATCGTTTCTGCACTGGCTCCTGTTTCGTTATATACCTCTGGAAGTTTATCAATAGAAACAAAGTGACTTCTGGTATAATACTGAACCAAAGGCAAAGCATTATACGGCACTTTGTCTTCGTGTAACATAATACATTTCCACCCATAATACCGGGGCATATTTAACGCAATTTGCTTTTCTTCTACAGTATTTATGTCTTGAATCTTTTTATGCAGAGCTTCTCTTTCTCGTAATTTTTTAGCTTCAAGAGACATGTCCAAAATTGGAGGATATTGTGGAGTCTCAGTGTATTCATTTTCTTCTATTATTGCGACTTGAGAATGTAATCTTGTAACAACTTTTTTTAATTTAGGAAACGTTCTGTGCACTCGATTCAAATACATTTTCTTTCAAATTTTAGAAGTCTTAATTTTAAACATTGAGAGGAACAATATTGGCTATTCTCGAGGTTATGTTCCGTTTTGAAATTGATCTCACTCAAATCTATTCTAGTGTGACCACATTTCATCGTATTTTCTACTAAAACTACTGGACTCATAGAGGAATCTACGGTGGGTTTTCTCTCTTTTAAATGAACTTTAAAAAAGGAAGTTTACAATTCATCAGAGACCTAAATACGATTTTCAACCTATAAATATTATGATAAATTAGTTCCTGAAATCTTCTAAATGGTAGAAGTTCTGTATAAATGTCATGTTTTAATAGTTGTGCAACAATCGAAATCGAAAATAATAAAAATGTACGTTCCAACTTACATAAATTGCCTTTATAGAAAATTAGATTTTTTAATTTAAGTATATTTTTAAAAATAATCTTTGAAAGAACAAAATATCAAAATGGTTTAAATCTTTTTCCTTAAACTAAACTATTAAAAGTAAAAAAATAAATATAATTTTATGAAAATTCGTTTCGTTTCTAAACAGAATGGCTGATGCAATGCAATTTGAACATTTGACAGACGTATGGACCGTAAGCCACAACCTGATAGCCACCTGCCAAATTGTAATATAACCATTCACTGAATATTTTAAAACATATTAATACGTTATCATGGACGAAGATATGGTATTTGATCCTTCTTTGAAGAAGAAAAAAAAGAAGAAGACTGGATTTGACATTGATGCGGCTCTTGCAGGCGATCAAGGTGAGAGCACGAGCGTGGAAGCGCCCGCTGCATCGGGTGACGTCGACTTGCCCGAAGATGATAACCTCGATTTGGATAATTTTGGAAAGAAAAAAAAGAAGAAAAAGAAGGGGGTCTTCAATATGGAAGAACTTGAAAACACCATGCCTGAAACGCCACCAGCAGAAGAGCAAGAACCGCAGGAAGACGACGTTATTGATGACTTAGATCTAGAGATTGACTTCTCAAAAACTAAAAAGAAGAAGAAGAAGAAAAACATTGAAGAGCCTATGATTGAAGATGATATCAAAGGTGAGGACCAAGAGAATATAGAAGATACAACTGGTGACTGGATAGGCACTGATCGTGATTATACGTACGATGAGCTATTAGAGCGAGTGTTTGACATTATGCGTGAGAAGAACCCTAGTATGGTTTCTGGTAAGAAGCAAAAATTCATTATGCGACCTCCACAAGTGGTACGAATTGGTACCAAGAAAACATCTTTTGCAAACTTCACAGAAATTTGTAAAACTCTTCACAGACAGCCTAAACATTTACTAGACTTTTTACTAGCTGAGCTGGGAACAAGTGGATCTGTCGATGGTAATAGTCAACTTATCATCAAAGGTAGATTCCAGCAGAAACAAATAGAGAATGTGCTCCGTCGGTATATCAAGGAATATGTAACCTGCCACACATGTCGTTCCCCAGACACTATCCTTCAGAAAGACACACGATTATTCTTCCTTCAGTGTGAGACTTGTGGCTCACGTTGCTCAGTGGCCAGCATTAAGTCTGGTTTCCAGGCGGTGACAGGAAAACGTGCTGCCATTCGTGCAAAGACTGCATAGAGTATTAGTGTTTAGTGATAACTAATTTTACAGTTGCAGATCAGGGGTACATACAGTAATATTACTTGGCTTTGTGTTATACATACATTTAACACCTGCGACGTGACTTTCTAATGTATAATTATTATGCAATTATGTGAAATTTTGTATAGCTAGATAGAAATGCATGAAGCACCAAACATTCTAAGAGACAAATGTCATAAGTTTTGTTATGGTTTTATTTAGAGAAATCTATAATGAATTTTACATTTTTTTTTGATAATCAACCATTACAATGCTTATAATATTGTATGACTAAAGTTAAAATATTAATGATGTGCTCAAGTGGTTGCAAGACATATTGGCTGAATGTACCCCATTCTAACCCTATATTTATGTATAGCTCACTTCTGTATTATTCTCATTGATACACAATGATTTTATAAATTGCTGTTTCATTTTTATTACATAATAATGATTGATTAGCCCTTTTTTTTCTGTTCGGGATCCTCCTTGAATACCACCCACCGGTGGTTATGTCGGACTTGAACCAACCGAAAACAACACTCCATCTCGGGTACTAGTAGCCAGGTAACCAGGTGTACACTAAGGAGGAAATCCCTGTTACAATTGATAAGCCCCTAACTTTTCAAATTTATTTGGCAAAATGTGAAAGTGATACCAAGGTCTTATAGAAAACTGGTGTTAAGTAATTCCATTATTGCATTTCACTAAGAGAGAATCCTGGAGACCAATCCCCCCCTCATTCTCAGGGGGGCAACACTGAATGGGCAGTACTGCACTTGTATCTTGAGTTACAGGTGTCCATGGGCGGTGGTAGTTACTCACCATCACGTGACCTGTCTGCTGTTTTGCCTCCATATCACAAAAGACCCAAAGTCAAAAACTAAGTTTTAGTTTTTGACTAAAGATTATGTAAGGAAACTAATTTATTATAAGATTTTCTTAATGACAAAAATATACTCCTGTGTATAATATATTTATATTTGTCATACATGCATGCATGCACCTGTACTTGTATATGTACTTATGCATATAGGTTCTGGAGCTCTAGTTAGTAGTTAGTTATGGGTCCAATACCCAATGTTTTTACTAGGATCCTAATTACTGTAGGTATATTATATTAACTAAATAAAAAATATCTACAGTTACAGTGCACCATTTATTTTATCCAGTTATTCATCTAAAATACCTAAGTAATTTAATTTTTAACTCATATGTCAAACATAACAGAAGAAAAACAGGAAGGGACTTGTCTGCAAAAGTTGTTAATATGACTTAAGATGGTGAATATTTGATTTTATTATTAAAATGCAAATAATTATTTAAACCTACAGAGATAAAATTGTAAGTACAATATTCGTCACAGGGTCGTTCCTGGTGCAGAGGTCGGCTGTGGTCATTCAGCAGCCAGCGTTATGAGTACCTTTGCGCCGGGAGCGACCAGGGGTGGTTTTTTTTAATATAAGTAGTTTAAAGAAAAAAGCACAATATTATTTATACTGTTTGTGGATCAATCAGAGGAATTTCTCTTTCTAGATATATAAATCATTTTTTATAATACTCGGATGGTAAGAGGTCCTTTTATAGCTATTCGCAACATCACCTTCGATCGAACCTTCAGATCAAATGAATATTATATTTTCTATTACACAACGAAAATTTTACAATATTAGCCAGCAAATTCTTTTTAACCCCTGACGGAAAACCAGAGGTGTTACAACTTTAACTTGTGTATCTGTCTGTCTGTCTGTGTCATCATAGCTCCCGAACGGATTGACCAATTTCGATGCGGATTTCTTTGTTCGAAAGCCGATGTGATCGAGATTATTCTTAGCTATAAATTTTGAAGATCATCAGCTCACTGCCACCATTTGATTAAGGGATCTCACTAAAATCCACAGCTGTGATTGATCTGGTGATACTTTGATGGTATTTCCACGACAAGGTAACCTGGAACTTGCTGCTACATCAAGTAGTCTGCGGGATAGCCAACTCCTTAGAAAATTACAGCATATATACCATGTTTGGCCTTATTGGAACAGTCGCAATGAACAGTTGTTGTTTTTTAGTTTTTTTTTTGTCGGGATTTTTTTAATTATGCTATTATTATACAGTGTAATACATATTTCCATGGACTAAAGATAAGAAGGCTATGAGTAAAGTGAACTGTGATACCTAATTTCTATTATACATTTATTATTGTGTCCAGTCCAGTCTCTTCCTTTTAAGCTTTCAGCTTTGACCTGTACCTATTTAATACAACATTGCTTAGTTGAAACTACAACCAACGCCATTGTGTACACGGGATAGTGGTAGATATACATAGGCGGACGTTTGGCCATCGTGGCGCGCAATGGGGATGTTGTTGGTTTTTTGGCCACACTAAAGGAATCATAGCGTAGCTTGGCGTGTGGTGTTAGGTGTTAATCCGCTGTCTCGTAAAACAATACTCGCCCGTACGGCCAATACTCTTTTTTGTAAATCCAAAATCAAAATACGTCCCGCTTATATAAGGCTACCGAAATAACTAGAATAATACCTAGGATTCGATAGATCATTCCAGATAATAAGGAATTTCTAGAGTTCCATTAGCTAAAATCTTCCGTCCGCTTGCTGCGCCATCTAGTGTCAAGTTGAAATTATGAACCATAATTTCGTTGTACTTACTTGGTTACTTGATACTAGATGGCGTTGTCCTTAAGATTTCGGTCGGCTCTCTATTGTTCACGGACTGCTCAATACTAGGACATTCATCCTATGGCGCAACGGCACAACAATATAAATGTACCTACTTAGAAATTTGTAAGTACGTTTATCAGCAGTCTGGTTATGCTTACCATGGTACTACAGACTCAGTCTAGTTAGGTACCAGATGGCCGTGTGTGAGGTGTGAAATTAGTATTATTTTCAACTCACTAACGGTTAAAGGGAAACTTTAGCTGAAACCCATACACCAACGTAATAATGTAGTTAGTTATTTCAAGAAAAGTGAATAAAACCAAGTTGTTTAAACTGTAGATAGGTATATTTTCTGAAAAGATATACTTAATAACAACAATAACAAAGAAAATAAAAATTTATAAAATAACAACTAATTTGAGTTTGCACATTTTTATTTAGTTTGTCTTCAGTTGTATTGCGAAAGATATAGTTATTACGGTGTGTCCTTTCCCAAAAAGTTTTGTAATAACCGACTCACACGATACTTCTCTGGAAACATTTAGAACTTCATGGAACATCCATTAGTTCTATTATTCGATAAGAGGTAGCGCCACGTATCCTATTTTGAGCGAAAGCAGGTTATTTCTCAACAGGAATTAAATATATTTTTAACGAAGAATTGATTGAATGACGAAAAAAATCAAGGAAAGAACAAATATTCATCCACATCTAAAACGTACGACACACGTACGTACGTGATACGACCTTAGATGTCTTTGTTCAGTGTAGGTACATAGTCATTCAACAATGATAACACGTCAGATAATAATTTATATTACAAAAGAGAAAACAAATTAATAACAGTATCAGCAAAAAATATAAATATACAGAGTTTATTCCAGTCAATTGACATTCATAGAAACAAATTCAAATATAAACTGCATGGATTATTTGCTTGATTTTTAAAACGATTGAGTAGTTAAAAAGCTATTAATTACAATATTGTAATAATTGGTTTATTATTTAGGTATTAACCAAATTATCTTTGGTTACTACCTAAATAATGTACCATGCCATAAAGAATAAATTAAAAAATAGTAACGATTAAAACTAGTAAGAATATATTCGATCCCTAACACCTTTATTAGTAGGTAATGGTAGCTATACATAGAATGCTATATTTTATATAATAATATGTTAGAGAACATACTAAATAGGCGATGGCAAGTTTCATTTCCAAATATTCTTTAAATCTTATATTTATAACCATAACATAATCTAAAATTTTAGTCCTGTTATTATGTCCAGTCATTAACCATTTAGACCATTTTTTTGTTACACAAGATACATAAAAGAGACACACAAATATGCATATTTACTTAATTTGTAGTCTTCCATTACAATTTACAATTGTTTTAGAACTATCTTGTTAATTCAATTCTTCTTCTCGTTCTTCCGGTAAATTAGTATTTAGGCTTTAACAATCTTTACAGTTTCAGCAGGAATCTGTCTCCAATGTTTCTAATTACTTACACTGGAAGAGAAGACTTGTTTTCTACAGATCTCATTTTTACTTAGGTATATAATACAATATTAACAGTCAAGTCTTGACTTTGATAGAAAGTCTCAAGACAAGAAATTTACAGAGTTCTGGGACTTGGAGACATGGGACTTTTTAGGATCAAAACCCTACTAGTTATGCAGATGACGTCTGATTGATAGCATTAATTACCAGAAACAACTTGAGGCTTATAATCAATTTCAGCAGCCTTTTTTATAAGCCCCGCATAATAATCAAGCCGCTGTGTCATTCTAAAACCCCATTTGTCCTTAACTTGACGACAAAGATTTAAATCAACTTGGGCAATTAGTAAACCATCTTTTATTCTCGATAATCCAGGTGTTCTAGAGCCATCAGGTGCAGTTATATAACTAGATCCAAAGAAATGTCCAAAATCCTTATGAGCTGGTTTTCCATCCCCAGACGTAAATTCATTAGGAAATTCCTCTCGCCCAACTCTATTAATAGCACAAGTGAAGAAACTGTTCGCTATAGCAGCGTTACGGGCTTCAATAGACCACAAATGCTCACTAAGCCCCCCAACAGTAGCAGAAGGGTTAAAAACTATTTCAGCTCCATTGATACCAAACATAAGCCAGTTTTGTGGGTGATGGCGACCATAACAAATATTGATAGCAATTTTCCCATATTTAGTATCAAAAACTGGATGCCCCGTATTACCTTCAAAGTAGTAAGTAGACTCATTGAAATCTCCCACACGAGGAATATGATTTTTACGATGTTTACCAATAATTTTACCACATTCATTTATCACAACAGCAGTATTCCAGATAGTATCTCCATGAGTTTCATCCCTTTCTAAAATTGGTGATATGATGACCATGTTATATTTTATGGCTAAATTTTGCAAGAATTGAACACTTGGACCAGTTTCTGCACATTCAGCAAATTGACACCAAGGAGCTTTTTCTCTTGTACAGAATGCAAAAGGCATACTCCAAGCTTCAATGAGGCATAGCACATTCACACCTTCATTGCCAGCACATTCAATAATTGGAAGTATTTTATCAAAGATAGCTTGCCTTTGTGCTTGAATAGGTTTACTAGTAGACGTAGCAATACAGTGTTGTATAATTCCAATTTTTACGATACGAGGGCTTCTAGTATCTTCTTCTTGAGCCGGAAAATCGTAGGCTTCGATATCAAAATTATTCTTTTGAGCTTGCTCTAAATTAGCCGCTTTAACTTCCAACTCATGGTGGCTAGTTCTACCATAGTATATCCTATTAAATTCATCCAGATCTGCTCCTGATAAAGCGTCTGATACAAGTTTATCAAAACTTTCAAGTTGTAATCCAGCTGCCATATCGTTTAAAGATCCTTTTACTTTACGTTACACGATACAAAAAGCTCGGGATTCAACCACAGTTCCGAATAGAAACGTCGCCACTAAGTTTAGACTCTAAGCTAAACTGCAGTCTAGTACACTGTAGGTACTTATAATTTTATTATTTCTCTTTGTTAACTGACCTGACTGATAACAGGTATGATATGAAGATATGAAATGAATGAGACTGAATGAGGTTAAATGCAGTGTTGGAAACGGTTAAATTACCTCTCCACCAGATTCAACATCTAAAACCACCAGAAAACCAATAACGAAAAAGCAGCACTGGGCAGGGCAGCAGCACGGGACCCTTTCCTTACGGCTGCTTCGGGAAGTACCTGTCTACTGTACTGTACCTACTCAGTCGCTAGGAGGGAATTGAGTCGAGCCTGTCACCACTGCGATTGCAGTGAGGACTCAGCTCAGCACACGCTGGCAATTTGCCCGGCTTGAGCACCGAAGCACCGGGTCCTCATTGCAGTCGTCGCGGGGGATCTCTCGCAACTGGCCGTCATTCGCTCCATATTTCATCGCGGTCCGTCCGCGTCCGCGTGTGCCGGACGTCGTCTAAATAGAGAATGTACTCGAGTGGTGCCCGCGCCGTTGCAGTCAGGCGCTAGGAGGGGCCAGATGTCTTAATAACAGCAGTTCCCGGATCCCTCCTATTACAGGCGTAGAGTGGCAAACCGTGTGGTTTTAGTCGGTCAGATTCCGACACACCACCCCGCCGCAAACCCGGTGGGGTGACGACCCGAGGGGGGTTTCCAACCGAAAAAAAAAGGCCGTAGGATGAACCATCCTGAATTTTTAAGAAATTATAGCCTACATTATTGACTTCTCTCGCGACTCCGCATCCGCTCTCTCTAGCAAAAAGCCTACATCATCCCATTGCCTTAGATTAATAATCTTTCTTTTCCTGAGCAGTTCTGTCCAATCTCCATGTTCAAGATAAATCTTGAGTTCTCAAAATTTATCTTTCAACATCATCTCCTAAGTCCTCTACAATCTTACCACTAGAAAAATTTTTCGCCGCTAGGGTCGTAACCACCTGTTTTAGTGGACAATCTACTAGGTTGGCAATACTAGTTAAATGAGGCTAATGAGGTATCGTATTAACAACCTACAGAATGTTGCCAAACTTAAATTGTGGTAGGTTTGGTGTGCCGGTGTTGATTAAAAAAAAAACAATTTTAATTACGCTAGGAAAAACAAACATCTGCATCTCAGGACCGTGACCGAAGAGGCGGTGAGCCGCTATCGCCAACGTATTCAATAGTCTGTTATTCAGATGCATCAGAGAAGCACTCCACTATCAAGGGGTGCCAGAGTAACTGAGGCGGCTAGTGGCAGATTATTTATAGGAGCGTACCGTCATTTACGAGGACTAAGATGGTGTTTTAAGGCGTTGGCCCATGTCATGATGTTGCATAGGGATCTGTTCTCGAACACCTCCTATCAAACATGGTAAACGACTGGGCCCTTCGAGGTCTAAACAACCTTTAACAGAAGTGCATTTTGACTGATGAAACTGACATTCTGTGAACGACATTCTGTGAAAAGAGAACGCGACTTTTCACGGTTTGAACGAAACATAAAACAATTCTAATTAAACTTTTTTTTAATAAGCAAGAATAGATAATACTTACTGAGTTCAGTGAATGTATTTGGGCATATTTAGGTTCGATTATAATATATTTTTACAAATAATTTAAACAGTTTAACACTTTATTTCATCGTTACAGAGTTAAAGATAAATCGATTTATTTTGCAATGATAAATGATATTTATTTATGTAAGTAAATCTTTTCAGATATATTTTTTTCCGCAACCAGTGTTAAAGTGAACAATGTAAGTGCAGTATAGGGTCTGGATTGCTCTTTTGAACAAAGAACAGGTTATGAGTAGGCCTGTCCTTTTTTTTCGTGTGGAAACCCTCTCGGGCCGTCACCGTTTACGGCGGGGTAGTGTGTCGGAATCGGACCGACTAAAGCCACACTGCGCCGGTAATAGGAGAGATTCGGGAACTGCTATTATTAAGATATCCTAGCGCCTGCCCGCAATGGCGCGGGCACCATCTTTGGGTACATTCTCCATTTAGACGACACACGCGGACGTCGCCTCCTCGCGGCTGGCCGTTATGGCGGGTCGACAGGGTAACCCTTCCCGTCCACCCACGGCCACACTCAGGGCGGCATGAAGCGGTGATAAGCGCGCCTCCGCCGCCCGGTTCCTCTCCGTCGCCTCCTTCTGCGAGATGACGTTTTCGCAGAAGGATGCGACCGCGGTGAAACATCTGACACTACCGGCCATGGAGCGTATGACTGCCGGTAGCGAGCGATTCCCCCAACGACTGCATACACTGGCAAATTGCCCGGCGCTCAAGCCGGGCAATTTGCCAGTGTATGCTGAGCCGAGTCCTCACTGCAATCGCAGTGGTGACTGCCCGAAGTGGTAGTGGTATGTCCCGAAGCAGCCGAGCCCGGAAAGGACCTGCGTCGGCCGGAAGGAAATCGTCGTCTCGTGCTGCCGCCCTGCCCATTCGATGATGACCGGCTGGAGCGCCTCCATGGCAGCAAAGCCAGCACGTGGAGCCTAAAGCCGGGACGACCAACGAGTCATCGGGCCTCGGCGAGCGGCCACTCGCGTGTCTCTTCGGGCGGAGGCTGAATGCCGCTATCGGCCCGGAACTCAGCCGTCCGCCGATATACTTCGGCGAGCACTTCCGCCTCCAAATCCCACGAGGGTGTTCCGGCCAATGCGAACCGCGTATGGCTCTAACCACCAATATCCTCTGAGGGCGCCAAAGGCGTACCCTATTCTGTGCGGTCAGAGCCACCGCTGACACTGGTGCACCGTACAGTGCCATTGACCGGACAACCCCTGTTTACAGCCGTCTCGTTGCGACGCTGGGTCCACCCAGATTATACAAAAGTCGCCCAAAGGCAGACACAGCGCCGACCAGCTTTGGAGCAAGCTGTCGGAAGTGCTCATCGAAGAGCCACCTGTAATTACTTTACCCGCCGTAATTATGAAAATTGGCATACAAGTGAAAAAAGGGTTTGTTTTAAAATGCAATAAAAATAACAACTAATAATTTTACAAATTTTAAGAAAAATCACATGCTTCGTTTCACTTTGAGTGCCTATCAAACAAACGCTGAATAATTTAAAATACATTTAATTTTTTCCTGAATGTTGTACACAACGTGTGTGTTAGACAACGTAGTATCCAAATTTGGTAAAAATTGAATTTCTTATTTTTTTGAAAACCTATTCTAAGACCATTCTACGATCATAACGCTTTTTGTACATCCATGTCCAATTTTACTGTCATTGTTAAATATCTGTCATTTCTGTCAAGCATGTCTTAAATAAAATGTTTACCTGATTGATTGATACAGTTTCAGAGGGATTCCTCATTTTCCTATTGTCTTGTTGAAATCATTTAATATTATAAACATTGTCAATTATAATCAAGCATTGTTGATAATTAAGAGAAAATGAACGCGTTACCAGCTCAACCGATTGGCATACAGAGTACAGCAGGAGCTGTGCCTATTCGAAATGAGAAAGGTATGTTTGAAAGAAACCCTTTAATATTCTATACTGCACATATCATAGACCTTCATGAAGGTATCTATTTTCTTTATCTATAATCTGTTTTTTACCGACAGGTGAAATTTCTATGCAAAAGGTTAAGGTACAGAGGTACATATCGGGAAAAAAGCCAGACTACGCGCAAGGAGCCTCATCTTCAGAAGAATCTGATCTAGATGATTTTATTGAACAACAGAAACCAGAAAGAAGGCAACAAACTCTACCTCAAATTATCGCTAGAAAGGAGGAAAGTGATTCAGAAAAAGAAGTGCGTAAATATCTTTGTCTTATTATACAAGTTCTTACTTATTATGGTGAAGTTTATATTATAAAGTAGATAGACAGAAAAGGAAAACTTGACATAAACCCTATACCCACCCGTCTGGCCAGCGTGGTATAATAGGTCAAAACCTCCTTTCTACGGAGAGCCCTATGTTCAGTAGTAGACTATTAAAGGCTGTGATGATGATGATGAGATAGACCAATGGATTAGACTAAATGCAGTTTAGTTTTCTTTGCATTAAAGAATAACATTAATAACTGCACACATCCCAGACAGAGTCTGTACTATGGTAACCAGGCTGCTGATAAACAGAATTATATATTTCTAAAAACACACACATACATAAATTACAGAACAACTGATCATGCTCAAGTTGGCCTGCACTATCTTTTGTTAATGTATTTATATGTGTGAATATCTAGACTATACTATATGACATACGTAAGAGTATCGTGGAATCTATTGAGTTTGAAATCAGTAAAACTTATAAAATTGTATGCCCTGTAAGCTATTTGTGCTTCAAGGTATCAAGTTAGTGTATGTAGTGCATGAAATTCAAGTCTGTTGCTAGGTCACCCATAAATGATATGCAGTAGACTGTATTACTACTGGTATTGTGGTTAACAGAATAAATACAATTTATGCAGAACTTCAATAGAAAATAGGTATATATGTGCTGTATGTGGCATATCAATATGTTTTTATTTAATATTCAGTCCATGCATGCTCAAACAAGTAGCAATTTGTGCTATTCCATTTTGTTCCTGATTCTATCACTGCCTATGTATCACATTATTTTAAAAGATTCTGTGTCAGCTGGTGATGAATATTACAAGACTGTAACTAACTAAGGGACAGTCTTGAAATAATGATGACTAGCTGACCCAGAAATGTTTTCATTGCTTCTGAAAAAGACATAGTTTTCCATGTTCTTGGAATATTTTTATTGATGCATGGCTCCTATTGGCTGTAGCCCCTGTAGATTGATGTTATATATGTCCAGCACTAACAGAATTTTTCAATTGGAATCAGTAGTTCTTGAGATTAGTGCATTCAACCGGACAAAAAACCTCTTCAGCTTTCAAATATTAGTGTAGATTAGTAAATGCAAAGAAAGTGTATGTCACAAGGGTATTTCTAAAAATTCAAGCAAATTAATTTACAGTAATTTAATTAAACAGTTACAGACATTCTTTATAATTTTTGTTAGTTTCCTTTTTTGTAGACTTGCAACGAATATTCGGTTACTATTCGGTATTCGGCCTATTCGGCTGCTTTTATTATATTCGGCCGAATACCGAATATCTACATATTATTCGGCCGAATACCGAATACTTAAATAATATATTTTGTCATTGAGAAATAATTGGTAAAATGAAAAATTAAAATCGATTGATTACGTATATATTCATATTTTCATTTCGGTTATAATCATTTAAGTAGTCATTGGTGCATAAAACAGGTACATAATCATCTTCTGAATTGGAAAAATGGAGGATTCTATGTATTTGAATTATTGTGGTAATCAAAATTTAGAAGGGTAAGGTTCTCATTTCTTTTATAATCATTTATTAAGTAGTCATTGGTACATAAAACAGGTACATAATTTAATTCACGTCTGTACAAGTTTTTGGCGCTAAAATCCAGCCGAATACTTTTGCCTAATATTCGGCTATTCGGTCAGGGGCCTCGCCGAATATTCGGTATTCGGTATACTGCCGAATATACTATTCGTTGCAAGTCTACTTTTTTGTTTTTTTTTATGCTTGCTCTACAATGACTACATTGTTTGTTATAGAACAACATTGCATATTAATGTTATGTGACTTTACATATAGGGTTGTGCTCATGATAAAAGATATTGAAGTCGCCTAGCTTTAGCTAGCCAGCTAGCAAAAGTCTGATTTGACTGGCTAATGACCTTCGGCAGATGTCTTTACACTTTGCTCTACTTTATTCTCAGTCATACTGTCATTGCTGGGATTTCTAACTTTATTGTTGATAATTCTTGAAACAAGCATGACAATTATGAAATAACTTTTTTATTCTGCATATCAGGTTGACGATCCTCGTCTCCGACGTTTAAGACAAGCGGCAAAGTCGCCACCGAGGAGAACAGAGCACAAGCCAGAGATAATAGATGCAGAACCTGAACCAGAAACAGAAAGCAGTGCTAATGAGGCTAAAGATAGTTCTGAGAGTGAAGATGAACTCGATGAAGAGGAAATTGAGAAAAGAAGACAAGCTCTCAAGGCTAAACTTGCTGCAAGGTAAGTTTCTATGTGTGATGATAGAAATACCTAGAAGATTTCTTTGTTGTGATAAATATAGCACTCTGAGAAATCTGTAATAAAAATAAAATAGGCCAAATTAAAAGTCATATGTTTGCTGTTTGTACTTTAAGGGAGGCTGAAAAAGAAGTTCTTGGGCGGGATGAAGATGAGGAAATGTTGGATGGAGACAAAGAAGAAAGTGGTTCTTCCGACACAGAGTATACAGACAGTGAGGAGGACACAGGTAAATAACAAGTAAATTTGTCATTCAAGCTCGATTGTAAGAACTGGCGGCTTTGGCGTAATCCCATTTGTCAACATAGAAATTGATTACTGTTACCACGATAAAATCTTAAATTCTATTCGATTTTTTTATTATTTTTTCCAATCGATTCCAAAAAGCTTGTGTAATTATTAGTAATCAGTTAATATGGGTTAAATAGTACCATATTTACTTGATAGCTCTAAGAAATCGCTACAAATTTCAGGCCCTCGCGTCAAGCCGGTATTCGTCAGAGCATCAGAAAGAATGACAGTAGCAGAGCGAGAGCGTAAAGTAAAACAACAGAAAAAAGAAGAAGCTGAAGCAAAAAAAGAGAAAGAAGAGCGGAGACGAGAAGCTTTAAAACTTGTTGAGGAAACTATCAGATCGGAACAGAAAAGGATGGATGTACGTAAATTTATGTTATCTTAGCCATATGATAATTACTCATGCATAACAACTAAATGACTGTCTACCACTTCTACTTTAATGATTATTCAAAGTCAAAGTCCTTAATCTAAAATTATGGGTTTATGACATTTCCCTTAGGTAATCAGGGTCATCTTATCTCTGTTGTCTGCTTTTTTCACAATGATATTATTTTATAACCTGTTGACGTTATATTCAAAAACGTATTGAATCTGTATTGGACAATGTAAAATGCTTAGGGCCTTAGCAGATAGCATTTTCACAAATATGTACTTCAATGACAAATGTTTTTATGGTTCGTTTTGTAACTCTAAGTCTGGGTGTTATTAATAATGTATTAACTCCTAATGTGCTTAAATTAATACGTACCTATTGTTACTTTCGTAACCCGAAGGAGTAACAAATCCATACAGTATTTAAAACAAAAATGTTTGTTAATACAGGGTGAACAGAAAGAAGGTAATATCAATGACGTCTGTACCGACGATGAAAACGATGAGCTGGAATACGAGGCATGGAAGCTGCGTGAAATGAAGCGGATCAAGCGGGACAAAGAAGAAAGAGAAGCGTAAGTTTATTACATCACGTCTAGCAGAGATGGCTCTCCCTTAAGTACATTCGAGAAACTTATTCTACCGATGCCGAAATTATATTAAGGATTAGAAAAAAAATCATAATGGTCGACTGAACAGATTTTCTAGAATTATAACTAAAACAGACACAAACAGATAAACATTTAAAATTATGCTCCTTTTTATGTCGGTTGGTAAGAAAAATTAAAAACAAATTAGTTTAGCTAATTTGTCATACATCTACAGTTAAGTATATACTTGCGAGTCTTATATCTATAAAAATAAATAAAATTGAAGAGTCTGTTTGTAATGTCAAAATAATAGGTTTTTCGTGCTCACACGGTAATTTGCACGATACCTATGCCTAAAATCCAGTTCAAATATTTTTTGTCTGTCTGTTTGTTACGAGTAATATGCAAAACTGACTGCACGGATGGCGTAGTGGTTTAAGCGGTCGCCACGCCGCTTCCTATTACGCCGAGTGTTGTGGGTTCAAACCCTACATGGAATAACACTGTGTGATCCACAAATTGTTGTTCTGAGTCTGGGTGTACTTTGTGTCCGTTTCATGTATGTTTGTAAAGTCCCCCGCGACACAGGATTTATTCCTAGTGCGGGAGTTGTCTTTAAAAAAAAAAATGGATTTTGATAATATTTTACTACCAGGTAGCTATCTATATAAGAATTAACTTAAGTTAGTTTATGGGTGTTTACCCATAAAATTTCCCCATCGAACCCGAGGCGTCATGGACTGCATTCGTACCGTACTACACCATTAAAGCAGCGCTTTTTAAATGCCACGCGAACGAAGTCGCGGGTACCAGCTAGTCTTAAACATAAAATCGTTTTAATGTAAAGGAAAATACTATTTATATCCTAGCTATTGGCTACACTAAAAAATTTCGAATATTATTAAGTTAGACACTAATATTGGGTTTCTTTGCCATATGCCTATGCCTATAACTTACTTATTGTATTACAGTGCTGAGAAAGAGTTGCTGACAATAGAACGTATGCGCAATATGAATGACGAGGAGCGGCGCGTGGAGTTGCGTCTCAATCCGAAGCAAGTCACAAATAAAGCTGTCAAAGGAAAATATAAGTTCTTACAGAAGTATTATCACAGGTATGTGTTAATGTATTATTTAAACCACTACGCCATTTGACGACCCAATGGCGTAGTGGTTTGTGTAACGGACTGCTATTCCAAAGGTCGCGGGTTCGATTCCCGCTCAAGTCAAATATTTGTGTGCATGAACATTTAATGTTTGATTTGGTCTGGGTGTTTCTATGTATAATAAGTATGTATTTACAAAAAAAAAGTATATATGTATTTATACCAGTTGTCTAGTACCCATAGTACAAGCTCTGCTTAGTTTGGGACTAGATGGCGTTGTGTGAATGTGGTAAAAAAGAAAAGAAAAGAAAGAAAGAAAAAATAATAATATAATAAATAATAAATATTCATAAAGCAATTGCAAGGCAGATGGTATATTTTTGATCTATATCAAAAAAGTATCTCTCTATTTCTAAAAATTGATTTTCCAACAATGTGAAATATTGCCTTCAAATTTTAACGGGACCACTATTGAGTTTTACCCATTAAATTAAATTAAGAACAGAAACAGTTAACTAATAGTGGAGATCTGATCGAAAAAATCGAAATAAACTTCTCCTTTTTGAATTTGGTTAAGAAAGAAAGATCTCAAGTATCAGAATGTTTTTTTAATGTGTTACCTGATAAGTCTAGTAACTGATAAGCGGTTGGAAAATATATTTTTTATAGACTAAAATATTATTAACTTGAATAATATGCATTTCAATTTCACACATTTGTACAAAACTCTGACACAATATGGACTGTGCTGTGCAGATACACAGTACTGTGTATATATTTATCTGTCTTAATTTTCACAAATTTCACTTCAGACATTGCGCCTTATACCTTATACAATAATTTTTTCAGAGGTGCGTTTTACTTGGACAAGGAGGACGAAGTATTCAAACAAGATTTTTCTGGCGCAACGTTGGATGATCATTTCGATAAGACTGTTCTGCCTAAGGTAAATCACGCCAATCGCTGAAGTAATACATTATGTTGCTAGTGTTAAAAAGAGATTAAGTTTTTTGCACTGGCGACATCCTCCTAACCTCTCTTGTGGATTTTTAGTTTAATGTTTTTTACTTTTTATTTAGGTGATGCAAGTCAAGAAATTTGGTCGTTCTGGCCGTACAAAGTATACTCATTTGGTTGATCAAGATACTACAGAGTTTGACTCCGCGTGGAGTAACGAAGGCACAGCTGCAAGACTGGCCAACTTTAGGGGTGGTATGAAGCAAGTGTTTGAAAAGCCTTCTGCTAAAAGGAAACATAATGTGTGAGGTGCAGTGAAGATCTCCCTTTTGAATGTATTAGTAATATTTGTTGCGTGTAAGTAAGCGATTGAGATGACGCCATTTAAGAAGTAACATGTGTTTTGTAAATAGTTTAACTTTAAGTTTATTAAAGGAATGTCAAGTATATTTTTGCCAAGTTATTTTTTGTCAAGTATATACTGTAAAGAAAAATAATTATTTCGAAAAAACCCACAGCCGCACAGCGAGAATAACGAATCATAAAATATATGGATCGCTACACCTTCGGCGATACAGGCGTGAGTGTATGCATGTTTAACTATATTATTGGGATGATGGCTTGGATATACTGATATTGCAGGTACTGAACGGAGTAGGGCTTCTAATACGTCTAATACTTCCAATACTGTACTGTTAAGTAGCCAACATAGGTGATGTTTCGCTAACAACTATTTAATACAAGCTTTAAGACGCAGCTTCGCTCGCGTTAATGTCGGTTGTTAAACAATTTTTGAAGTGAAAATTTCTTAACTCGTTGGGTATTTTTAAACAACAAACAAAAGAATGTATTTTTTGTGATAGAAAAAAAAAACATTGAACTCGCGACACTGTTACCGTTACCGACACCTCTGGATATAAGTATCTACATATATTGGCTCCGTTCATACGAGAGTTGTGTTTGGGTTGAAATACATTAATAATATAACTATATATAATATATTGTGTATACACGTATAACATATATATATATATAGATGTCGGAACTTTTTGAATAAAAAAAAAACAATTCCTGTTATAATAAAAAAAAGGAATTCTGTCGGCACGTCCGGAGAGTCACTGTTTTTCTCTTGATAAAAGGCAGCACGTGCGCTATTCCAGCCATTGACGATCTGGCAAAAAAATATAATACATAACTCAAAATTGCAATGACTATAGTGACTACTGTATTGTTATTTATGCTAGAAGTTAATTTATATCTAATGTGTAATAAAAAGGTTGCAACGTGGATGGCCCACATTTGTAATAAGGTAGATTTTCATGCGCTGGTAATGAAACAAAATATGTAATAAAATATATACATTTCCTAAAAAAACAAAATACAATATTTAAAAAAAGAGAAAACATTTAAAGTATTCTATGAAAAATATCTAAAAATATACTTAAAAAACATAACCCTTCCTTGGATGTCGGGTAAAAATTGTTAAAAAAATTAATTCTACTATAATCTCTTTCTCGATTGGAATCACTTGAGTTTAAGAGCAGGTCTATGCTCTTGCAACCCAGACGCAAACTTATCATTCACACTTTTCTGTGAGGGGAACATCGGCGCTCTTGTAGTGACGTGGATCAGGATGAGGCCCACTGCGGCCCATAACATCGCGAGTAAGACGGCACACACGTGCATACTGTGGCGTATTTGTTCCAAAGAAGCTGTCTTTTAATCTCCAGCCATGTTTCTGTGCAGTAGACTGTGTGTAATAGAATTTATCTTCCGGTGACATTTTATTTCTCGATTTTAAATACACCTTCCGTCCAAAGTATGGGATGCCTTTGTAAATTATATTCTCTTGGTTAGGGTCTATGGGCCGCATCACAGGATCTATACTTAGGTCTGTGTCAGGTCGGGCTAGTCTGGGGTCGTCCTTAGGGTCACCTACTCCAATATCAATGGCGGAATGTCCCTTTTTCAAATTAGCTGTTGTTGGTATGTGAATACCATCGCGAATGGGTGCTTTTCTTCTGTTTCGTGAACCAGATATAAAATCTCTTGTTATTGTAGGCATTCCAGCTGCCATCGCTTCTTTCAATACATCTGATTCAAAATATCCTTTTTCTTCACGCTGTAAGGTAGCTGCTACTTTCAAATTTTCTCCATACAAATCGTTCCATTTCATACGAAGTCGTGCTGTTTTATCATAACTTTCAACAAGAAATTTTATTACATCCGGGTTAGTAATATCGATTAGAGGCATTTTGTATAGGTAGGTATGCGAAAACTATAAAATATAATAAAAATCGGCAACCTGGTTATCTAGCTGGTTCAGAGAGGTACAAGCAGGTACAAGGGACAGGGTTTTAATTTCTTTTGGAAATGATTAGTACATGTCTGTTTACAAAAATTTTGACTATGGTTTTTTGTCTGTGGTATTTGCAGCGTTTATACCATAGTGTTTTATTCAAACATGTAATGAAACTATATGGTAGTCAATTTATGTTGAAGTTTTTTGTAAAAAGTATTGTCAATGTCGTATATTTATTGTCATCAAAATTGTAAAGGTATAATATAGATATCATGACTCTACCACTATCTCTACTATACCGAAAGCTTTGGAAAACGACCATATATACAATGACTGCAGTCTGTACTACTGTACAGACTGCAGTCATTGTATATATACAATTACTGCAGTATTTACCAGTCTGTAAAAATAATGGTAAATTAGTCAGAGTTCAGTCACACGTATTCTCCGGGCACATCTTATTTCTTTATTACAAACACAACAGCGGTAACGCGCTTGTGACTCCTGAGTTGCAGGCCTTCGTGGGCGGCGATGGTCAGTTTCCATCAGGTGACATATCTGCTTGTTTTCCCGCTCTATAATAGATAAAACATACAAGTCTGGAATACTCTTGTAAAAATTAATCAATAGGTTGCATAGTTGTATCTGTGTTCAGGTCGATAGGTCGTGCTAATCTGGTCACCTAATCCAATATCTTCAACTGTTAGTACCACATAAGATTACGAGAAATCGTCATATTTTTGTTTCGAGATCCTGATATAAATATCTCTTAGTATTGTTAGCATGCAATATTTAATCTTTTATTAAATATGTTGGGCGGGGTTGGGTGTGCTCCAAAAGGCCAAGATCGCCTGGAGCAGATCCAATCCTGGTACGCCCTCCTGTCCGGAGGGCGTACACGGCGAATGGTCATGGGGGAGAGCGCAACAGTCGTGTAGATCCCCATGGCAAGTCTGGGTGTCATCCTTCCCCTGGTTGCCGCCTGTTTTAGGTCTGATTCCCTACGAAACAGATATAACAGAAACACCCAGACGCAATTCCATCCCACAAAACCTATCCCTTCCCATTTTCTATCCCATCCACACCTACTGCGGACACTAAGTGGTTGGTGCCTGCGGCCTCACTATCAACAAAGACTGAGAGTGAGGGGGAGGGGGGGCAACCACCCGCATGTTTGTGCCGTGTGCGGGGACCCGTAAGGGAGGATGAAGGGATCCTGGTAGTTGAGCTGAAAGGCAACACACTGCTTTGGCCTGGATTTCTCTTTACACGGGAGGCTGAAGGCTAGCCACCTTTGGTCAATCGGCTGTAGTATCCCGTCAGAGGGCTGCTGGGCGAGAGCTCTTCCTTGGTGGGGGTGGACGACGGGTGGGACGACCAAGTCTTCCTACCTAGTTCGGCCTGCCTTCTGCCAGGGAGGGAGCTCTATATTTCCTTGTCACTTCTGGCGTCGTGTGCCTTCTGCCGCGGCGTCCCCACTTGAGGGCTCCAAGGAGGGTGGAAGGACAAGGAGATGAATAGTATACCAAAAAAAAACTATGGATACTAAAAAACCAATTAATAAAAAAACCACCAAGCCGGTACCGAGGGTGAACAACCCAAGTGCCAGGCTAAACCACCAATCGGCTGACCCCAGGGTGAACAACCCAAGGGTGAATCCGGCAAATACACCATTGGCTGCTGCTCAGGCAAACAACCCGACCGCAGCGCCATCCACGACTCTGGCGATACCTCTGGTGTCTAACCAGAATACGGAGCCAGTGTCGACCATCGACCTCTCCTCTTTGAGGGCAGCAATGCCCGTACCTGCGGGACCCGGCCTGGAAGAAACCGGCTGGAGCCTGGTAAGGACAAAGAAGAGAGCGTCGAAAAAACCAAACCCGTCCAAGAAGACCCGTAACGCCAACAGGGCGAAAGCCCGAGTGGAAAGGCAAGCACGGTGTCTGACCTCGGGTGGAAGTAAGCGGCTTGAAGTCGCTGAAGGGCCCGAAGGGGCCCACGTTGCCCCCGCCAGTGACGTGCTGCCCCGAGGCGAAGACGAAAGTCAAGCCACGGGGAAGTGTACTCCTGTGGGGGCGCCACCTGCCAAGACGCCTGTAGCGGCCAAAGTACCCTCTAGGCAGGGTCAACCTGGACAGGGTAAACGGGCGAGACGAGCGACACGTGGAGGGAAACCTTCAAGTGATACAAAGCCCGTCAAAAGAACTCGCCCGGACGAGTCTCGCACTCCCCAGGGCAGTGGCAAGCGATTCAAACCGCTGCCAAAGACCGGCTCCACGAGTTACTCCGACGCACTAAAGGCGAATGACCTTTGCGTCGCGGTCATGCTGGAGCCTTACCACGACCTCACCAAGGCACAGGCAGAGGACATCGAGGGCCAGCTGCAGGGCGTGCTAGATGAGGAGATCTTCTCGCCCGGCACGTCAAGCGCACCCGTCGCTGCGCCACAGTTTAGGGGCAAGGCCTTCTACAGTGAGGGCGCCCTTAAGATGTGGTGCAACGACGAATATGCCCTACAGTGGCTTCGCCGATCCCTGGTAAGGATCCCATCACCACGTGAAGGCACCAAACTGGTCGTCAGGAGGCAGTCTGAGATCCCGAAAAGGATCAAGGCTGGACTCCTGGTACCACAAATCGGACCAGATGATACACTGGTCCGTATTCAAACGAGGCTAAAGTACCAGAATAGCCAGTACAATGTGGCCAACTGGGCCCTCTACCATGCCGAGGCGCAGGAGGAAAAGAAATGTCTCTTCCTAGTGCTCGGCATCCCAGAAGAGGACGTCGTGAAGCTCAAGGATAGCGAGCGTAGAGTATACTACAAACTGGGTAACCTCTACGTTCGCTTCCTTGATGAACGTCCCGCCCCACCAACTAACCCAAACGAGGAGCCATTCGAGGGAGGAGGAGAATCGGCCCTACAACACCCTAAGGACGGCAATGGAGGGGATCCTCTGAGACCCGTTGAGGAGACAGCCTGCCGGGGTCCACCTCCTGAGGAGTTGGAGGACCTACCGGTGGGCGAGAGTGACAGCGATGATGGCGCTGTCTGCACCCCCCCATAACACCCTTATAGCCATCCAAACCAACCTCCAGCACAGCTATACAGCAACGGCTACCCTACGCAGAGAGCTGGAGGTAAAAACCAACACCGTAGCCCTGATCCAGGAGCCGTGGATTAGGAAGGGCAGGATCTGCGGTCTAAATAATATTGGAGGTAAGATACTTCTCAACACTACCATTGATAACCCGCGCACTTGTATTTATACACCAAAACATGCGTGTACTACCTTAATGACCGAGTTCTGTTCCAGAGACCTTACCTCTATTAGGTTAAAGGAACCCTCATCAAACCTGCCTGACGTGGTGATAGCATCAGCCTACTTGCCGGGCGATGCTGACATCCCCACTCCGGAGCTGGCTGCGCTGGCACACCACTGCGAGCGCGAGGATCTGGAGCTGATCATCTCTGCCGACACCAACGCGCACCATGCGCTGTGGGGCAGCAGGAGCAACAACCGGAGAGGTGAGGAATTTGTATCGTTCCTATTATCAACTAACCTTAACATTATCAACGTGGGCTCGGAGCCGACATTTGTCACGTCCAGGGCCCAAACTATAATTGATCTTACATTAGCAAGTGAGCACGCATCGCAACACATATCGAACTGGCATATTTCGAACGAAGCATCGTGCTCAGACCATCGCTGGATCAAATTTAACTTTGAAATGAAACTTAAACTACCCGATCCCCGACGGAATCCCCGCACGATGGACCGGAAACGGTATGAACATCTTACTGCGGAGAATCTGCGAAGCATCAACCCAACATACGCTACGGGGACTGTTAAGGACATTGACACTCATGTTGTCAACCTTACACAGACACTGATCGATTGCTTTGAACAAACATGCCCACTTTCCACACCCAGAACTGGACCACAGAACAAACACCAATGGTGGGGTCCGGAACTGGAAAGACTACGTCGTAAAGTGAGAAAGTTGTTCAATAAAGCAAAAAACTCGCGATTAGACCAACATAGGGATGCCTACACGCAGGCCCGACAACAATATAAGAAGAGAATCAGAACCAGGAAAACTGAGTGCTGGAGAAACTTCTGTACTAACATAGAGAACAACAACCAGGCCAATAGAGTCAAAAGCATACTGTGTAGTAGAGGCGAACACAATCTTGGCTCACTGAAGAAGCCTGATGGTGAGTATACCAAAACAGACTCGGAAGCCTCAGAGCTGTTATTAAAAACACACTTCCCTGGATGTCGCATATCAGATGTGATGGAAAAATGGGAAGACAGATGGGAAAAACCACCAGATGATACAGACTGGGATACGGCCTGCAAAGTTGTCACCCATGACAAACTAAGATGGGCAATTAACAGCTTCCTACCATTCAAGGCGCCAGGACTAGATGGTGTCTGCCCAGGCCTACTGAGATGGTGTGATACGACATTACTGGACCATCTTATAAAAATCTATAGGGGCTGCCTGGCGCATCAGTACATCCCCTTGAAATGGAGAGAAGTTAAAGTAGTCTTCATCCCCAAACCTGGTAAAGGTGACTACACACAACCCAAATCACACCGACCTATTAGTCTCACATCTTTCCTACTAAAGGTTCTTGAGAGGCTAATAGATAGGGAAATCAGGGAAACTGCGTTAGTCAGTCATCCTCTACACCTCAATCAACACGCATACTCGATGGGTAAATCAACAGAATCTGCCCTACATCGAGTTGTTTCATATATAGAAGACAATCTAAATCACAAAAGGTCAACACTGGCCACCTTTATCGATATCGAGGGAGCCTTTGACAAGACCAACTTCACCAGCATTAGCCAAGCTCTGTCTAGGCATGGTGTTGATTCCACAATCTCAGGGTGGATCGACAGCATGCTAAGATATAGAGCTATACAATTCACTGTGAGCGAAGTGACTAGAGGAGTGGTGGCTAGAGGTTGCCCCCAGGGCGGTGTACTCTCCCCCCTTCTATGGAACATTGTTGTGGATGAGCTCATCGCACAACTTAATGACCAAAGATTCCTCACAATAGGCTATGCAGACGATCTTACCATTCTCATCAGCGGTCCTTTTGAGAGCATTACATGCGATCAAATGAGACTTGCACTGAAGATCGTGGAACAATGGTGCGCAGCACACAACCTGACAGTGAACCCATCCAAAACAGAGATGATCATGTTCACAAACAAACGCAGCCTAGGAAATCTCAGACTTCCCAAGCTATTTGGAACACAACTTACTCTTACCAAAGAGGTCAAATACCTAGGAGTAATACTGGACAGTAAACTCCTGTGGAATAAGCACCTCGATGAAAAACTGAATAAAGCCTGCATTATTTTCTGCCAATGCAAGCGGCTACTCGGCAAAAGCTGGGGACTATCACCCAAAATTACTTTATGGCTATACAGGACAGTCATAAGACCAATAATCACTTACGGTGCTGTTGTCTGGTGGCAGAGACTGTTCTCATAAAGCTAAGCTAAGCACCGTCATAAACAAACTGCAGCAATTCCAGCGACTCCCATGCTCCGCGGTCACTGGCTGTATGCGCACAACGCCTACTGCCGCACTGGAGGTGGCTCTTGGTCTGCCACCCCTGGATCTATTCATACAGCAGGAGGCCGCCATGGCGATCATTAGACTCAAACACCTGGGTCTATGGCACAAAAGGGAGGGACCGCACTCTAAATTATGGGATCAATTGGTGGAATACGAACCACTGATAGCAGCTCCATGCGATAGAATCCCAAAACACCATATCTTCACAAGAAGATACTACATCCAGATACATGGAAATGACCGAGATCAATCCGGCATTAACGAAGTCCGAATTTACACGGACGGTTCCAAGACTAGGTCAGGAACTGGAGCCGGAGTTTTCTCGCAAGACTTAAATATAAACATATCACTAGCGTTAGGCCAACACAGCTCCATATTTCAATGTGAATGTGTGGCAATAACTTACGCCGCCACAACGGCCATGTCAAGGGGTATCAAGGACTACAACATCCGAATAATATCCGACAGCATGGCCGTCTTAAAGGCATTGGAGGGCAACACAATGACCTCTGGTGTTGTCCTCGAATTCCACCAAGCACTGGAACAGCTCGCTATATCCAATGGGGTACTCCTCCAATGGATTAAAGGGCACAGTAACTCACACGGGAACGATGCCGCAGATGAGTTGGCAAGGAGGGGCTCGGCAACCCCAACCTCTGGCCCAACCCCACTCATGCCCATATCGTTTAACCAAATACGATGCTGGGTCAGGCAACGGACCTGTGAAGCACACAACCGGAGGTGGAAAAACTCACCCGGCTGCAGACAGTCCAAACTGGTGCTGAATCAAGTCACGCCACGACTAACCTGCAGACTGATCAGTCTTAGCAGACCGGAAATCAGAATGGTTGTCGGAACTATTACAGGACATCTAGCCCTGAACCGACAACTATTCATAGTCAATGCGACGGACAGCCCCCTGTGCAGGGGGTGTCTGGAAGCTGAAGAAACGGCCGCCCACGTAGTCCTGGAATGCGAGGGAGTGGCCACACAACGGGCAAATATCATTCCTGATATAAAGTCGCTCCTAGAAGCCTGTGAACGCCCCAGGAGGCTTCTGCGCTTCTGGAAGGAGCTTGGCTGACTCACCTAGTCAACCAATCCCCGACGCATAAAGGACCACTCTGAGTCTAAATGCGGAAACCGAGGCCCACAACCAATACCAATACCAATACCAATACCAATACCAATACCAATACCAATACCACATAAGATTACGAGAAATCGTCATATTTTTGTTTCGAGATCCTGATATAAATATCTCTTAGTATTGTTAGCATGCAATATTTAATCTTTTATTAAATGTCGGTTTCAAAAAGTCACCTTTCTTTCTTTTACGCTAGGTTGGTAGCTCCCTGTTTTAACTTTTCTACGTAAATAGACTCTAGAATTTCACATGAACTCTTCCGTCTTTCAACAAGAAATTATATTAAAGTAAGATAAGGTACAGGAAACATTTATAGCATTAACTTAAACGAAGAAATAAACTAAAAATACAAAAACGATCCCTACATCCTCTAAAAGTAAAGTTGCAGGTTCAGGCGGCGATACTCACTTACCCTCAGGTGAGCCGCCTGCTCGTTTGCCGCCTTTGAAATAAAAAAATAATTGTAGTAGATACTACTCGGTATTCCTCTAAAGGATGGAATCATCATCATCATCATCATCTCAGCCTAAAGACGTCCACTGCTGGACATTGGCCTCCTCCTTCCTTAATTCCCTCCTTCAAGGATGGAATGCTTTCTTATCTAAATGAGCCTGTACCTTTGCCTTGTTCGTACTTCTTATCGTTATGGTTTTTCTGTTCCAGTGTTGGAATGCTAAAACGCTCTGAATCTTGTCGTGAGCACAACTAATGTTCAATAAAAACATGTGGTTATAGCCCGATAGTAAACCTTTTATTATTTACAAGAATAACAATATTTATACGAGTATTATACGCTATATAACCACGAACTCCAGCTTTATCATATCTTTCAACAAACTTACGACCTTAAACAAGAAAACTTATGCCGTTAGAAACTTTTACATAACGTGACTTCTATAGAACGAACGACGTGAAGGATTATCCTGATTTATTTCTTATCTGCAGTTCAGGCTTAAGCAATTTATGGTAACTGTGCTTTTTCCAAACAATTGATAGTGGTAATCATAGCTTTGGAACCTAGTGGGCAAACAATAATCTAAAATCACACGACATGGTTTATAGATAGAAATCTAATATTTTAATTAAATTTAAATCTTTTCAAATTAGACCCACCTACCTAACACCAGAAACTGAGCGGATTTTTGGTTGTAGAGGTCTGATGGCAGTCGCTCTGTGTAAAAAAAATTGAAGTTCAGCCGTACCGTAGTAGACTTAAAGCCAACCCCAACTTAGTTTGGAAAAAAGGCTCGGAGGAAAAAAAGAAAAAGCGAAGACTACTAATATGCAATTTAATGGACACAAAAACATTATGCTATAGGATATTGTTTAAGTGTATCACCTTCAAATATCCTCCAAATAGTAGTCAAGGCTCGTTAGAACCTTGTTAGAATCTAAAGTTGAGGTAAGAGGTAAACCATGTAGTTTGTCTCTGTAGCGTGTATAAAATTACTTTTAGTAAAATCTTAGTTCAATGGAAAACAGATTCGTTGTATTCTTAAAATAGATTATATTAACCTCTAAATATGAATCGACATTGAAAATAAAATAATCTCCAAATTAAAGACTTATCAAGATGTACACTTCTGGTTAGTCGGCTCGTCGGAGCTACCATAATGAGGTGGATCAGGATGAGGACCGCTGCGGCTCATAACATCGCGAGTGAGACGGCATACACGAGCATACTGTGGGGAATTTTTGCTAAAGTAGCTATCTTTCAGTCTCCAGCCGTGTTCAGTTGAACCAGATTGAGTGAAGTAGAATTTATTTTCAGGTAACATTTTATGTCTTGATTTCAAGTACACTTTACGCCCGAAGTATGGGATGCCTTTGTAAATTATAGCGTTTTGCTTAGGGTCGATAGGTCGCATGATTGGATCTGTATGTAAGTCAGTGTCAGGTCGTGATAGTCTAGGGTCATCTTTAGGGTCTCCTATCCCAATATCGACAATTGAATGGCCTTTTCTTAAATGCGCCGTAGTGGGTATAAACAAACCATCACGAATAGGTGTTTGTCTTCTGTTTCGGAAACCAGACTTATGATCTCTTGTTATTGTAAGCATTCCAGCCGCCATGGCTTCTTTCAATACATCTGTTTCAAAATATCCTTTTTCTTCCCGCTGTAAGGTAGCTGCTTCTTTTAACTTTTCTCCATATAAACTGTTCCATTTCATACGAAGTCGTGCTGTCTTATCATAACTTTCAACGAGAAATTTTATAACGTCCGGATTCGTAATATCGATAAGAGGCATCTTGTATACACTTTATAAAACATCAAATTAAAAATTGATATGAAACCTGTATAAGGTCCAATATTTCAAAAGGTTTACGAGTAGATGCACATGATTTTGATTCTTTATTTGGAATTTGTTACATGTCAAATTATTAAAATGATGTAAAGGTGACTTTTCGCTCTAAGATCCAAAGAGTATAATAGCAGTAATATTCTTCTTCTTCGTGTCAACGCGTGAACACCCCTAAATATTGTCCTCCAAAATTCCACCACAGCGACACCATGGTCCGTTCTTCTCCACAGATTCTCAACAGTGTAGCTGGAGGGACACAGTGGACAAGAAAGCAACTAAGATCGTTAAAGTATTTGCTACTCATACTCGTATGTATATTGTTGCAGTAGTAAACTATAAACTTGACGAGGGATTTCAAATGAAACGAGACAAGAAGGAAAAGGTTTTGTTTTTTCTTTAGCTTTGAATGAGAAACAAATGCAAGAACTGTAATAAAATCATGAACTTTATTTTCAGAAAAAATGCTGCGTGGGCAAACAATAGTTATTTAAAACTAACGATTTAATATCAAAAATACTTAATTATTTAATCAGACCTAGTTATATTTTGCTAACTTATAATGACTGTACACTGTTTATAAACGAAACGTAGAGAACTCTTTTTACAATGTCTTATCCACTTGCTCTATTATTAGTAACATCCAGGGACAATGGAAAATGTACGGGGGTACCGTCCCCTGACCTCTGGGCCATAGAGTTGATGACTTCCGCACTGGCTTCTCTTAGATCATACGCCCAACCAATTTTTTCAAAAAATCTGATGAATTTTGTTGCAAAATTGAAGAAGTCGAAGTGTTCAGCCGCTTTGTAGTCGAAGGGAAATGCGTGATGATAGTTGTGCCAGCCTTCGCCCAGTGTACAGAAAGCTACAAATCGATTTTCTGCAGGTATTATATGTCTGAAATAATGAAAGCAAACCCATATAAATAAAAATAAATCGCCGAAATGTGCACGTGCACGTGTGAACAACTGCAAAGAATTTGAAAAATCTTTTTGTGTTTTGTATAAAAGAAAATTAAAAATAAAATAAAACAAAAGCTCCCAATATGAAAAGTGAGTGAGTGAATAAGATAGAAGACTATGAGAGTTCTACACTAAGGTTATCAAAAGAGAAAGTTAGTGATTTTTTATGTTCGGGGTAATCTCAAAAACTACGAGTTCGAATTGAAAAAATCTTCAAGAGGTATCCTCTTTTATTGATGAAGGGTGTAGGCTATATAACAAAATGATACGACCAAGAGGAGCAAAATTTATTCCTTTTGAGAGAAGCGAACGAAGTTGCGCGGGTCAGCTACTTTTAAATAAAAATCATAGAAATCAAAGGACAAATCATAATCATAATATTGCCATCAAGTCACGCCATGATGTAAGAGATGTGTCGAGGTCTGTATTTTTTTAAGTGTTTTTATGATATAACCTGATGGTAAGTGACAACAACCGCCCATGAATACCTGCAACTTAAAAGTCACAAGCACGATGACCCCCTTTCAGTCATGGCCTTAGGGGGGGGGGGGCGACAGGCAGGCTCCGTTAACCTCACTCACTCGCTCGGTGAAAAGCAACAAAGGAATTGCTTAATATTGTTTTTTTTGTGAGACCGTGATATCACTCCTATCGAGCGGCCCCACTTGTGTGGAACAAAGAAATCGTAATAATGAGACACTCGCGTGTGTGTGTGTGTGTGTGTGTGTGTGTGTGTGTGTGTGTGTGTGTGTGTGTGTGTGTGTGTGTGTGTGTGTGTGTGTGTCTTATTATTACGATTTCTGTTGTGTTGAAGCATGGCTCTCCCACGATATATGCATTGTGATATGGTCCGAGCAAGCGAAATGTCAACCGCATATATGTTAATAATATGTCTTTGCCATGATCAGGATCAGGATCAGGATACCTTTATTAAACGGATAGAATAAAAGGTCCATACCTATTATAAGGCTTGTATCCATATGCATGTGCTAGGCTGTTCACTGTAAGTTCGCTATGAAACATGCTGAGGAATCTTATAAAACACTGCCATGCCACTGCACACTTCCAGTTTTCATTCCAAAGCCAGATGCCTGTCATTGTTGGAATAAGATAGCAGAACAGTAGCTTGAGCACGTTGAAGTTTCTGTTGAATGAAAACGTTTTTAAGTCAGCTGTAAGATCGAAGTCAAGTTAGAAGATCCAGCATGGACAGGAAACTGCATGGAACAGGAAATAATATTACTATTTAAAATGAAAACGATAGGATTACTTGTAGAGAACAAATGCACGTCTGCATTTGTTCTCCACAAGTAATCCTATCGTTTTCATGTCATGGGCGGCGATGGTCACTTTCCATCAGGTGACTCGTCTGCTCGTCTGCCCCCTCTATCACAAAAAAAAAGAGAAAAAGGCACATTTTTTTCAGCAGCAACAGCAACAGCAGCAGTTTACTTAAGTGTCTTTAGATAGTGATTTGGGTGAGACGAACCCATTGCTACGCTAAAAATATGCATCATCAAAAAAATATTTTTTAGTGTACTGTATTATTGTGTAATATTTTATAAATACTTTATTAAGTATATTACCGATAAATAAGTTATTCTGAAGAAATGTAAGCTTCATACCAAACCAGCAGGATCAGCATTATAACTATACTTTGACAGTAATAGGCAGTAATTATCAGCAAACCAACATTTTTTGGTTGGAAACTGGGATAAAATCGACAACGGACGAGCGTGAAATTTAGATTGTTTAAAGTTTATAAGTATATAATATGTAAATGTATACATATTATACATACATATGTATACAAAGTATATGTATACATATTATATGTAAATGTATATAATATGTATACATATACTTTCAATTCGAGTCTTTTGTAAAAAAAATCGTTAAAACGTAACACGTCAAAATTACACTGACCTTTCGTAGGCCCTTATAAGTGGATCACTTTCGATGTCACTCATGTCCATTTGTTTCCCTCGTAATATTACTTCGGGGTTCTTCTTCATCATCAGCCAGCCAATATGAGAGAAAAATAAACCTCTATTGGCATTGTGGGGATCGGCGTCCGTATCGCTGTACTTGTGGTGTACTCGGTGATCACGAACCCATTGAACCAAAGAATTCTAAAAGAGGAAATAGAAAAAAATAAAGAATAAAAGTAAATAAAATACAAATAAATAAAGTAAATAGTCAAAAAATACTCTTAACTATGACTGAACGATATTTACGAATCGTAAGTTTTAAATAAAGACTGATGTGTATGGAGCAAGCAAATAAAACAATCGAAAACCACAGGTTCTGTCTTAGACAGATTACTTTTTCGTTCAAAGATAATTCCAAAAAGTACAAAATAGTGTTTTGTTCAAATAAGAACATTTTTCTTCTCTAGCCTGACGGCCTCTATTAGCTGTTATTTTTCTGTACAAGGTTTCTGTCGCCGTAGGTACACGATGAAAATTCTCTTTCGATTTCTACTAAATTTTACCCACTTGATGAAATGCAATGAAAGAATTGCTCTACGCCGTGTTTCTGTGAAGCCGTGATATCGATCCGGTTCAGGCATGACTTCGGTGGATATGCCATGGTTCTTCAATTGTTAAAGTTTACGGATGAAGATGATATTTAATAACTTATTACTTTTTAAAAGATCCAATTCAAATTCATTTATTTATTAGAATTATGGTAGCACAATGGTGATTGAATATTGCATGCCTCTATCACATTCTACCATAACAATAGTGTGAAGTCAATCTTCAATCAAAATGTAATATTTCAATCTTTCAAACAAAGGATGATGAAATAAGTGAAAAGATCATAAAAATTATTGTACATTTAATTAAATTATTTATTGGCTAATTAATATCAAAAAATAAAAATAGAATTCGAAAAAGAATCGCCTGGCAGTTTGTCTCCATACAGTATAAAGGAGTGGACGATAAAAATAGTTAAGAACTCTATTTAAATGTAATACACAAGTTACGATGCCTTAAATAGAAAGAAATCTTCTTACTCACGACTTCTATAGCTACGACATCGTGGGAAAGCGCTCTAACTTTGCAAAGAAATCAATCTTACAAGTTACTTTTAAAACATTGGAGAATCTTTTTTTTTAAGGAATTCTCTAAGGAATAGAATTAGAAAAATTGGTTTGAAAAACTTAGAAACTAGATTTATTTATGCTAAAATGCGACATACTATTTGAGATCGTTTTGGCTTTCGACAGAGTGTCTCGAATAGTATAAATTATAATCCCTATCTCTGTTGAAATAGGCATTACAAAATTGAAAACTTTCTAGGAAATTCCCTACACTTTTCAGACCTCACACATTTCTTTTGTTTTAACCGAGGCTTATTCTCAGTGCCAAGACAGAAAAAAACGAGACATGGTAATGACGTCACATTATTTCTCAGATAAGCTAATATACTAAATTCATAAGGAAAAGAATATGTATAAGAGTATAAATTCCTTTTTTGTTCTTTTTTTTTAAAGACAACTTGTGTGTGTTGTCTCTAATAGGAATATGTCCTGTGTCGTGGAGGACTTCACAAACATCCATCGAATGGGAGAATAAAGACGCACCAGTCTTAATTAACCGTACCTACTAAAAAAATATATTATTTTGTTCCACAATGAATGTTTCTTAATGCATTGTTCTTTTAAAGGGATAAAACATAAATTGTATTAATAATTAATATAGTTGTAAGAATTTTACCTGCCCAGCACTAGAGAAACACAGAAGGAGAAATATTTTCAGTGGTAATGTTGCTTTGTATGACTTATGTGTCCACAGACGATGGGCCCCACCTGTGATCCCGAAGCCAGACGCCACGTACATGATGAGTGCTAAAACAAAGGTTTGGGCATTTTATTCCATAATAGAAAGTGTTTCTCAAATACTTCTTGGCAGATTGGTTGTAATAAGAATTAAAATAACTCGTGTTATTTTATCAAATATTATGTTATGTGTATATGTCTATAACCTTAGAGTTGTTCTTCTAGGTTAATAGCTATAAGTCCACAATTCATTGGAATGAGTGCCGTTGCATTAACTCACTACAATTTTTAAAATTATCTGCTATCTTTTGTAAACTTAAAAACAACGAAAAGCGTGTATTTTTATTCAATTAATTATTACTTATCAACATATATGAAAAATGTTATTTTAAATTTATTTTAATAGCTTAACTTAACCTTTTTTACATTTTAAACTTTGCAAAGTTTGGAAGAAATCGAAAGTATGTCTATTTAAAAACAGTTAAGTGGATGCAATGCGTGAAAATAAGTTAAAATTAAAAGTGGCTTAGTCATGAATATAATCATAACAACCCTAACTAGATTCACAACAGTTTGTTTCTCAGGTGTACTTACCAAAAACAACAGTCTGCCATTTCACAGGAAAAGCAAAATAATAACACCAATATGCACCACCAATATGATAAAGACTGATCAATATAAAATTCAACCATTTTATTTCATTTTTAAATCCGAGATTATTTTCTAAGTTTTGTACTATTTCACTTAGTGTAACGCCCCGTCTTATTTTAGTATCCTTTTTATTATCCATTATAAGTTTCATTTTAATTCGGTTCCGTCTTGTACGGAAGACTACTAACATTTGATTCCTTACTGTCGGTAACTCAACATAAACTGGGGTAAATGCCTTGTGTTGCAATACTTGCAATCGGTGTAATGTATGCAGGTAAATAGGTGAACAGGAAACTTAGTATAATTTTAATTAGAATTCTGTAAAAAAAACTAGTTTTACAAGATAAATTAATTGTCTATGTGTTTTGTTTTCGCCTTCTCTACAAAAAACGATTTTTAAACATTGTTTTCAAAATGTAAAAAACATCACATCAACAGCCTTTAACAGTCCACTGCTGGACATAATCCTCTCCTTAGAAAGGAGGTTTTGGTCTACTATACCACGCTGGCCAGACGGGTTGGTATAGGGTTCGGCCTATAGGCCCATCGTGCTGCTGGACGAGGCGGGTAAATTGTTCTTTCTGCCCGCATCGTCCGGCACCTCTGCGAGGTGGGCCCCGATCTGTCGGACGCCCAATTTGGTTTTCGGGCGGGGCGTTCGACAGTCGACGCCGTGTTGCGCCTGAGGGCCGTGACCGAAGAGGCCGTGAGCTGTGGCGGCGTGCTGTTGGCGGTGTCATTAGACATCGCCAACGCATTCAATAGTCTGCCATTCAGCTGCATCAGGGAAGCACTCCACTATCATGGGGTGCCAAAGTACCTGAGGCCGCTAGTGGCAGACTATTTAGAGGAGCGTACCGTCGTGTACGAGGACCGAGAAGGTAATCTGAGGTGTCGGCCCATGTCGTGCGGTGTTCCACAGGGGTCTGTTCTTGGACCCCTCTTGTGGAACATAGGGTACGACTGGGCCCTTCGCGCCGATTTCCCCCCCGGGCTGGGTGTAATCTGTTACGCAGACGATACCCTGGTGACAGCCCGGGGGGCAAACTTCCAAGAGGCGGCGCGCCTGGCCACAGGGGGAGTCTCCCTGGTGGTCGGGCGCATTGAGGCGCTGGGCTTACGGGTGGCCCTAGATAAGACGGAGGCCCTGTTATTTCATGGGCCCCGTCGTGGTCCACCCCCTGGCGCCTCAATCGTGGTCAACTCGGTCCTCGTACCGGTTCGGGCCCAGATGAAATATCTGGGCCTGATCCTCGACGGGAGGTGGCTCTTCGACGAGCACTTCCGACAGCTTGCTCCAAAGCTGGTCGGCGCTGCGTCTGCCCTAGGGCGACTTTTGCCCAATATGGGTGGACCCAGCGTCGCGACAAGACGGCTGTACAGGGGGGTTGTCCGGTCAACGGCACTGTACGGTGCACCGGTGTGGGCGGCGGCTCTGACCGCCCAGAATAGGGTACGCCTCTGGCGCCCTCAGAGGGTAATGGCGGTCAGAGCCATACGCGGTTACCGCACCGTTTCGACGGAGGTGGCATGCGCGTTGGCCGGAACTCCCCCGTGGGATTTGGAGGCGGAAGTGCTCACCGAAGTTTATCGGCGAGTGGCTGACTCCCGGGCGGAGAGCGGATTTCGCCCTCCGCCCGAGGATGTGCGCGAGTGGCGCGAAGCCGCTCGCCGAGCCACGATGGCTCGTTGGTCGTTCCGGCTGGAGACTCCACGCGCTGGCTTCGCCGCCGTGGAGGCTCTCCAGCCGGTCATCGCCGAGTGGGCAGGGCGGCAGCACGGGACCCTTTCCTTCCGGCTGACGCAGGTGCTTTCCGGGCACGGTTGCTTCGGAAAGTACCTGCACTCGGTCGCTAGGAGGGAACTGAGGGAACCACTGCGACTGCAGTGAGGACTCGGCCCAGCACACGCTGGCGGTCTGCCCCGCATGGGCGGCGCAGCGCCGGGCCCTCACTGCAGTCATCGGAGTGGATCTCTCGCTACCGGCCGTAATACGCTCCATGGCCGGTAGCGACAGTTGTTTTACCGCGGTCACAACCTTCTGCGAGGTAGTAATCTCGCGGAAGGAGGCGGCGGAGAGGGCCCGGGAGGACGACCTCCACTCGGACCCGATCCGCCGCCGGCGAACCGGGCGGCGGAGGCACGCCTATCACAGCCTCATGCCGCCCTGAGTGTGGCCGCGGGTGGACGGGGTGGGTTTCCCCTCCACCCGCATTAGTTTGGCCAGCCGCGAGGGGGCGGCGTCCGCGTGTGCCGGACGTCGCCTAAAGAGAGGGAAAAAAAAATACTGAGACGGAGCCCGCACCAGGAGCGGGCTGGCGCTAGGAGGGGTCCGGATGTCTTAACAACAGCTGTTCCCGGATCCCTCCTGTTACAGGCGCAGAGTGGCACACCGTGTGGTTTTAGTCGGTCGGGGTCCGACACACCACCCCGCCGCAAACCCCGGAGGGGTGACGGTCCGAGGGGATTTCCACACGTTAAAAAAAAAAAAAAGGGTTTTCGACAGGTTTTCCTTCTCTCTGCAGTGCTGTTGTTCTGCGCAGTTTTCCCCTTAGTCGGCTCTTACGACACCCATGGGATGAATAGGGGTGGTGACACTCTGTATTCTTAATCCGTCACCACGCGGAATGTAAAAAAGATTAGGTGTTTTTTTAAATTCATGTCTTTGCAACGAGGAGTCTTGAATAGAGTACCATTATCACATCCCAGTTGAATCCCATCCCTTCTTTTTGTGAGTGATTACACATCTGATCGAAAATTTTGCTCACACGTTGTGTGGTGCATGGAAATGGACCATATTTTGCCTTTTAGAAAAGGAAAAACACTGTTCGTAAGAAATAGAAAAATAACTTTAATGCGAGCGAAGTTGCGGGCTAAAGCTTGTTTAGTTATACTTGTAGAACACTCTTTTCTTTTCTTTTTTATATACTTCAAGTTTTAAATATCTTGCACGGAACCATATTGTCAGCGTTTGTAGTTTAAACCCGTGAAATATATTTACATCTGATTATATATTGTTATTTGGTCATTTCCACTAAGAAATGGAGCTCTAATTAATTTGAATATGTATTCGGTATTACTAAGCAGGTATTTTGGTTGGTTTATCCATATTATAATATTATAAATGCGAAATCGTGTCTGTCTGTCTGTTACCTCGTCACGCTTAAACCGCTGAACCGATTTGAGTTAAATTTGGTGTATGATATAGTTCAAGTCCCGGGAACGGACAAGGACATAGGGTATTTTTTATCCCAGAAATCATCCTTTAAGGGGGATGAAAAGAGGGGTGGAAGTTTGTATGGGAAATCAATAACCGCTTAATTGATATAGATGGAATTGGGTATGGTGATAGTTTGATTCTTCAGGAAGGACGTTGGCTACTTTTTTGCTGTAAAAGACATACATAAGACGTAAAAGACGCGGATGGAGCCGAGGGCGACAAACTATCTTTAAACTGATAAATTAAATTAAAAAGGTGACATGAATGAAGCTTTGGTATTTACCATTTTCTAACAATGTTATTGGAATGTCCAAATTTTTATGATTATGTACATTTCTAAAATTTAGAAATAAACTTTACTTAAAATGTTTTGATTCTATGGGTCAATTTAAATGAAATTAACGTAAGTTACTTGTAATCAAGCCTCACATTATTCAGTAACTTGAATCTGCATTGCGCCAAAAAAGAACAAAAATTGTACATTTTATTATATTATACATTATTTTACAGATTATACAGACACCGCAAAGAAATGTTTTTGTGACATTTATATTTTTATTTAATATTAAAATCAGTCCAGCCGTTTAGAAGATTACCAGGAACAAACAGAGACAAAAGTTAAAAAAAAATGTGTCTGTTTGTTCCTGGTAAAACAAACTGACAAAAATGCAGCGCTTTTCAAATTCAACGCGAGCGAAGTCGCGCGCACTAGCAAATTAGTAATAAAATCACTACTACTTTGTATAGATTAATATTATACTATAGACTTCTCTCTTATAATTTGTAACGTATTAAAAAAAATATTACATTAAAAAATTTAAATAAAAAACAATAACGCGGGACAACAATACGAGTATACGGCGTCGCAGTTATACATATGGACGTATACATATTTATGATTCTTATTGGTTAATGTCATATACACAGTTTTACTGATTTGGTTTTAAGTTTGTTTCATATCTTAATAAGCACGTCTTTAAGTTATCTGTGCCAATGTGTGTAGAATATTATGTAGAGTCACAATTTGAAAACCAAGATTCTTCTTGCTAGATTGCTAATACAGTTTATTTTGTTACATGAAGAAAATTTTGTGCAATTTAATTTTAGAACGGTTGTCTGAAAATATATTTGTGTATTATGTATTGATTAGTACACAAACTCACTCACGTCTATATACCAAGGGGACCAAA